CCTACAGGTTTAGATTAAGTTTAATCATTGTAAGAGACGCTAATTTTTTTTCAAGTCTCACCAAACCTAACCTAACCTAAACTACCTACCTAAATCTAAATTTTAAAATACCTTCTAAATTGTTTACTGTCTAGGTACCTTTTTGATAATCTTTAGGTACTAAACCGATGTTTAATATATATTTTCTATGTACCTATACCTCTGTATGGATAATAAGAAACCTAGGCTTATTATAACTACACCGAAACAGCAAGACAATAATGATTATAACATATACAACCAACATATATTATACAACTATTACGACATAATCGTAATATCTTTTACAAAATAATATATTAGACGAGTAGTAAAAACAAAAAATAATTTAATTTCAGAGTAATCATATCATAAAACGTTTCACACCAAGTTAACAATGTTAATAACGACCTTGGTAATGTACCCAATACTTTTATTTATTTTACGACTCCTGTATAACCTTAATATTATTATATTATGTATAAAACATAATTTACGAAATATAAAAATAAAGAATTCATATTATAGTTTACCACTACACAGTAGCAAGGACAGGTTGCGCCCCTGGTAATAATGACCTATAAAAAAAAAGGTTTTCATTAAAGAAAAAGTTGTCCATGGTTGACTGCTGAGGCATGTGCCGTGAAAATATAATAAATTGGACTAATATAGCATCTACTCTAAAGGTAGAAAATTGTCCCTTTGGTCAATACTGCGTCATACTGTGACTCTGGCGAATGCACTCATACCAATGACTAACTACAGCCCTTCTACTACAAAATCTAATGAGGGAAGGGGAGAAAGTGTGATACAAAATTGCCAAATAACATTTTTTTCAGACTTAAAAGAAATTTAGTACACAAACTATACAAAATGATAGTACAAGTATAGAGAAATAAAAAATAACATTAGGAATAAATTTTAGCATGAACAAAAATTGGAATCAACCTCTTAGGATTCACTGTTGCCTATGTAAATTATATGTATAAGGTTATTTATATTATATTATATCTATAGGTTATAAAGTACTTCGCTCGAAATCTAAAAGTATTTTAAATTACCAAAAATTATGCCACCTGTCAATTATGTCAAAAATGTATACCTATACATTTTCCATACCTATAATAAATTAGGTATATGTTTATTTATTACATTATTTTATACCACCTAACAAATAAACAATAAAATTATTATATTATTATTGTTATTATTATTATTATTATTATTAGATACTTACCTAACCTAACCTAACTTATCTAAGTAGGTACCTAACTCCAGGGCCTGATTTAGGCATTTTGAAGTCTATAAAAAATAAAAAATGTGGTCCCTTGTCAACAGTAGCGTATACAGCCCCCCCTCTACACATGAGTTGTATAAAACAAATTAATATATACAATTTATTTATAAATGTTCACGAACAAAATTCCAATATTATATATTTTGTATTCCTACAGAGTACAGGCTACAGATTTCTTGTACCTATTATTTATTAATTAATATATATTTATTATTATATATTTATATTGAAAACAAAAGTAAACATTTTTTTTATACTATTAATTGTAAAAAAACAATACATTTTTATAGTTATAGTAGAAATTAGCTATTTTATAGTATTAGTTTTCTTGCTTTTAAAAGCAAATTCATTTATTATGCCATCAAAGTTTAAAGAAGATATTTAAGATCTCTTTCTATTGATAGTAAAGCTAATCAACTCTTTCTTGAGTAAGTATTTTAATATAAAATATAATAATATTGTATTATTAATAACAATATATACAGTCCATACAAGAAAGCATATTATAGATATGTTGATGACACTTTCATTTTATTTAGAGATTCAAATAGACAAGCAGAAAATTTAGTTAACTACTTAAACAAAATAAATAAAAACATTCAATTTACACTCAAAATACAATTAAATAATTTATTTAATTTTTTAGATCTTCAGTTTCTATAATAAAGAATAAATTTGATTTTAGTACTTACAGGAAACCTACACAAACTGATGTTATAATACTACATGATTGTAATCACCCTTATTCTCTAAATATACAATAATACAATATTCTATAGGTTTAAATGTATTCTATTAAATAAACATAATTAACAACACGAGCTCAATATTATCAATAACATAGAAATAATTTCAATTTAAATACTATTGAAATAATGCAAAACGTATTAAAGGAAAAATAATACACAATTCACCAAATAATGTTGTTAACTATTTAGTATGAAATATCAAAATAATATGTCCAACTAATTCGCTAAACTTCTGAACAATAATACAAATAATTTAAAAATCACTTTTAAGACAATTAATAATTTAATCAAACATATAAACAATAGAACTAAAAACTTCACAAAAAATTCCCCTTCTTTTGAAAATGCTAGAATATATAAACCTAATCATAACTGTTATAAATTTTACATAGGTAAGACAAACAAAAATTTTAAAATAAGATGTAAAGAACACATTTCTAAAATAAAATTAAAAAATAATGCCCCTAATTCAAATTTCACTAAACATGTTTTAGAAAATAACTACAATTTAAGCTTTGATATTAATACACACTTAGAAATATTAAATAACCAAAATAGTATAAATAAATAAAGAAATAAAGAAAAATAATTTTAATAATATTATAAATGTGCAAATCGATTTTAAAAATAATATCTTATTTCAATACATTTTAGATAATAAACAAATAATTTATATTTCTCAACATTTCTATGTCTAATAATAACCCATTTAAAATAATCTCTCTTATTAAAATAAATTATTTCTGTGTGACCAATTTGTATAATTTTTTTTCTATGTATTCCTTCATTTAATTTTTTATATTCAGTCGCATTTTACATTTTGACTGTGATATACCTGATGATGAATTTCTAATTCGAAACCGGTCTTATAATACACTTACCATAATACTCCAGGCGACGCATTCATTCATTTATTATTTTTTTATTTACATATTTATTTACTATACTTCTGTAAGTCTATGTAAAAATGTGACCATTATAATAACACCATATGTTTGGAGCCGGATTTAAGATTGTGGGGACCACAAGGCCCATATACATAGCCGTGTTAAATAGAGACAAGTTTAAATTTAAAAAAAAAGAGCCGATTCTGGAGATGGGAACGGCCACTGTTGTAGTTGTGAAGTTTTTATAAAATAATGAAATCGTGAAATTTTACGTTTTCCTGTGTTTCTTCAAACTGATGTGTTTTTATTTAAAAAATGGCGTCGAAAATCATAAAATGACTTGTTTAAAGTACCATCTAGACAACTTGAGCTTTCAAAAAAGTTGTGTGTCCACAGACTAAAACAAAAGAAAAAAAAATAAACATCTTAGTAAAACCAATAGCTCCCTCACTACGCTCATAATTTAAACACAAATTTAGTTAAAATGTGTAGTTATTTATATTTGCAAAGAATCTTACTAGAAAATAATGAAAATACTTATTTCGTGGGGGTCCCTCATACATTTAATTCTTTGGGGACCTCTGAGTTTACCCCCTAAATCTAGCACTCCCTAAGTTTGTCTACCCTGGCAGAATCAGCTTTTTTGTGGTCTGTGATGTGTTACACTTATATACATACATATATATATATACATATATAAACACACGTAAACGTACCAAATTTTCAATAACAATATATTCAGTAGATACTTAAAATAATTATTAAATTTAGAGAAATGTGGGTACATATATATCCATGATTAACACAATAATATACACAAAAACATTAAAAAGTATTATAATAATTTATAAATACATACTAGGTACGTGAAGTGTGACCGTGACTCACAACTCGCTCGAGTGTAGGTATATAGTCTATAGATACCTATAATACCTACATGTCAAGGGAATCATTACTCCTTAAAATTCATATTATTGTATACATTTGTTTAACATTACATATATTTGTTTAAAATAATGGTGCGCCTGTTAATTAACAACAATAAAATAAATGTAATATGCCGTGAAATTTTGTTTTTCATCAAAAGTTATCCAGTTCATGAAATGGAAACCATATTTTTCCCATTTAGTGAAATACTAGTCAATTTCATAAAGTGGATATCTCTTCCTGAAATGGATACTAAAATTTAATATTGAGTAATTTTTTATTATTATAACATCCACTTCGTGAAATGGGATACATGAGATACTGTTACATTTTCACATATTTCTGTTTAGTCTAACAATTTTGCCAACCAGTACTTACCGAATAAAAATTACGTATAAAACTCGCAAAATTACAAATATATCTATAAATAGTTCAAAAATGTCTTAAATTTTCTGAAAATTTTACCACATCTAGAAAAAAACAAACATACATTTTCTGCCTAAGTTTCAAATCTCTGGAAATATTTTTAACTGAATTACAACAAATTGAAAAAATAAAGCATTCATTTCGTAAATTTCCCGTTTTTCTTACATATACTTTCCATTGTTTTTCTTTTATTGAGAAAACTGCCGTGAAAATCAAAAAATGACCTTTCTAAAGTACCACCCCAAGAAAATTTTCTTTCAGAAAAACGTCTACATTGTATATGCATCGCATTATACTAATAACAAATTGTATAAATCTGAATGATTGGTACTAAGACGAAGAAACGTGTTTTTTGTGAAAAAAAATTGTAGTACTTTGTACATAGTGAGTAGAAAAAGAATACAAGGTACCAGTGGACGATGTATCATAGTCAACTGACGACACGCAACTATTATTATAATTTATAAACAGTAATTTGTATCAAGTTATTATTTTATTTGTCATATATTGTTATAATACATTTACATAATACTAACCACTATTAATTAAAAGTTAAATACAAAAAAGTTGTTATACCATAGGAAGTTTATTTTTATTAACAAATAATAGTTGTGAAAAATACCAACTATACACATTTTTAAATTAAAATATTTTAATTTAATCAATTTTAAGTAATCCTTAAAAAAAAATTGTAATTTATTGTTTCTTGTTTCTAATTAAATATCCAACACTTTTTTGCCTCTGTTGTCCTCCAAGAATTAAGTCTGTATCGGAATTGTTATCAGCCAATAATGTTTGGTCTTCTATCTTCCTAAATTATTAATCACTTAAGAAGAAATTTACCTTGAACATGATACATCTACACATAAATGCATTTATATACTAGGTATATAATAGATTCATTATAAGAATAGGTAGGTACAATACAATATTTTTTAGGGAAAATTCGACAAAAATATATAAAACAATAATAAATTATTTATTATTATAAAATTATAAAAATACCTATGTACTTCTACAAAATGTTTTCGAAAATACAAACCGCTTTGAACGGTTTGAACTTGGTCTCTTTTGACTTATGTGCCATGTTCGGAACAATTCCATGTAGTCTGTCCGCAAAAAATTGCCATATGAGTAAGAGTTTAAAAAATCCGTGTTAATAAAAGTGATTATATTTACCATCTTTTGTGCATTTTTTATTATCTCTTTTAGGTTCTTCATTGACACGAATTTTAGAGTTTAATGCCAGTTTGAATATTTCTGAAATCGAAACGAATTTCACGTTGAATGAGAAAAAGTCTAAAGGTACATGCGAATGATGTTGTGCCTATAGTTTTGTAACATTATTAAATGCTACGTAAAGTGTATACTAACCAAAGGCAGAAATCGTCGTCGTCACCGGCGGTGGTGGCGATACCACCGTTTTGATTATAACATCATCCGAACGAGTATAAAAAAATGATGTTTTTAGTCTTTCATAGCAGAGCTCCGAATCAGCAAGATGGAACGACATCGGTTCACTCTGGGCGACGACGGCCTCGGGAGAAGCCGAAATAACTATCCCGAACTTCTCAGGGAAGACCGCCGTCGCGGCTCTCGCGGATGCGCTAACATACGTCTCACCCACGCACTCCTTGTGCACGTTCATTTTGCAACCTAAAACACGTTAACGGCAGAAAATTATCGACAACCTATCAACAAAGTCACGTTGAGCCACCGTAAAACATGTTACGACAGCTGAACAGAAAATAAAATGTCGGAAAATATTATAATATTATCAGTGGTCGGAAGAATCGGGCTGTTTATAATGGAGACGCGTAAAATGACGGAAACGTATTTACTCAGTACCATAACAATAATAATATTTAACGATAACATAATTTTAATATTTATATAATTTACTATATTTATGTTATCAATACATAATCAAATTACAGTTTTTTTAATTAATACCTGTTATGGCGTAAAATAATAATAATAATATTAAAAATAAAAATGCTTCTTATTATACGTCGAACAATCTTAATCATTTTCAATAATATTCGCTTTTTTTATTATTAATTAATCATAATTTATCATTGATAGGGATATGCATTTAAGTCGGATATATTGTATGGTGTTTCACGTTAAATATCAGTTCCATGTGAAACATCTTGTATTCGATCTGTTAAAGTTAATCCCCATTGTTGCAAACATAAATCCTTTGTTCCTCCATGACTGTAAAAGCTTCATTAAAAATGCGATCTGTGTAATCTATATCACAGTAATTTAATTTCTGTTTTCGAAATAATATATATTCACTCATATTTATCACATAGTTGTTGTTGATTTGATGTTCACATGATGTTAAAATTAGTACAAAAACGATCTAATATTTAACTTGATCTTTTTATTTCATTGGCTTCTGATAATGTATCTTCCCAATGTTTATCATGTAAAAGTAAACCAAGTCGTTTGCATGGTTCTCTGTATGTTTCATATACAATCCCATCAATACTTCTTAAATCTACATATGATGTTGGCCTACGCACATTATGATATAAGATTCTTAGAAAAAAAACCTTTGGGATTACTTGGATTTATCACATACATTCGAGCCACCATATTAGTTCTAAAGATGTTTAGATGCCCATTGGCTGGAATTCGTTATTTTCTCATATTAAACATTTCAGCTGAATTATCACATATATAATATTTTGGACATACATATTTCAAGATTAAAATGTCCTTTAAGTATTTTTAGAATAAGTGGACAGTAGAGAACAATCCATCTGTTATCTATCTAGATTCTAGACTGTTTTACATTTACCATTCATCATTTTCATTTTTATATTGTTTTTAAAACCACCATTTTTTTTACTCTTTCTTCTGTACAATGGATATCCTTTATGTTTTGGTTTCATCAATCAGTTTTCGAGGATAATTAAATTTACATTTACCATTTTTCATACAACATAAAATCATATTCTATTCCCTACATGGTCCATATATCATGTGATTTTCTACTATTTCAAACAATTCATGATCTTTCTCTGGATCTGGTAACTCAGTTGAAATGAGATCATCAATTTGAATGGAATGAATTTAATTTTTAACCATATCAGAATATGAGCAAATGGTAATCCTCATTTTTGCCATTCTATTGAATAAACCCATGATATAACTTCACCAACAATATTACTTTTTGTTATTAAATCCATTAATTTTTTCAATTTCAATTTAAATACTCTTGCAATTAAATATGTCAATCTCTTGGTTGCTGATGGGGTAATAATTGTTCTTTTAACTCAGGCTATTAACCATTACATGTAAATGTCATAAATAGTCAATATTTTCCAATGTTTTGTGTGATACAGAGAATGTCTTGTGTATATTCATGCATGTGTCTAGGAGTGCCAATAAAACTTGCAGGTAAAATGAACTTCTGCCCTATAATTTCCATATTTCTGTCAGTTACAAATACATCTTTTAGATGAATATACTGATCAATTTATAGTTTTGATTGATTACATGGTATATAACATAATCTTTCATTTTTATTTTTTACTTACATGTCAACAATAAGCTGATTAAATAGTTGATTAAAGCGAAGCAAATAATTGTTGGGAATTGTTCGTATCATTATTCTGTACACATAGAAATTCATTGCTGATATTTTTTTATTTGTATTTAAACCAATTGCTGGATCTATTTATTTTAATTTAAAGTGATATCCGTCTCCACCCCAACAAAACATTAACGGATATTGTAAGGCATCATAGGTTTCTTGAACTTTCACATATACATTAATCTGTTTTTATAATATAATATTACGGTTTGTAAATTCATTGCCATTCAAAAAATCATTTAAACTTCAAATTGTGAAGGTTAAAGTCAATAAAGAGGAGAACCAATAAAAGATACAAAAATAAGAAAAAATTTAGGATGAAAAGAAGTAATGATAATGATAATTGCAATAAAAATAAAAATTTAAATGACAAAGATGATACAACAAAAATTAAATCATTGAAAGAAAATTCAAATGGGTAAGATTTTGTTTAATAAAGTAAGAAAACTTATATGATATATTTGAATTTTATTATTCGGTTTTTAGATGGAAAATTAGAGAACCAGTTATAAATAAATCCACTATTAAAAAATTTCAAAATTGTTCAAGAAAAAATAAAGTATTCAATGTAAATTTAATTGATGAAAGTGCTCAAAATAAGATATACAGCATTTGAATCATTGATTGAATCGTTGATAAATTTTACAATATTTAAGTAAGTTTAGCATGAATAAATATTTTATTATTAAAATATATATACTTCATAGGTATATATTTATTTTAATTTTTAGATCCAAAAGATTTTCTCTATAACTAATAGGACAATCTGAAGAGCAAAATTATTTAGATCATGAATTTGAAATATTATTTACTGAAAAATCTGAAGTAGAAAAAATACAAAGTTACTCTCAGTACTATAAAAAAAATTGGAGATTTAATACATCAAATTAACAAACATACTTCATTAAAAAAATGAATCAATAGGTAAATTTAATATAAAAAAAAAATAACAAGAAACAAAGAAAACTAAATTGGTATCATCAAAACAACTGGGAATGTGTAAACTTCATATATCAACTAAGGAATTAAAATTAAAAAGAAAAGAAATTTCAATAATTGATGACACAAATTCAAAAGTGAAAAACACAATTAACTCATGAGTATTTCTTATGACTGGTCTAATTATTTTTAGTTATTACTTATATAATGGGATACTTTACAAATTGAAAATTTTAAAGGGAATATCAACAATATGATTACATTAAAAAATGTTGAAGTGTCAGATTACTAAGGAGTTAAAAGTATATCTCTTATAAATCAAACTACAATAATTGTAATAAATCTTGAGATTAAAAAAGCAAAAAGGTAAAATATTCAATTAATTCATAATATGACCATTCAATTATTTAAATAAATTATGCATTTTAACACAATGGTAAAAAAAAAAAAAAACAAAAAGATGATATCTAAATTCAAATATGCGAGGAACATGGAAAAGAAGCATTCAATTTTGTGAAAATTAAAATGATATATAATAAACAAAAAAATAAAATTATTGGTAAGGATAGCAGGTACGTGAACTGTGAAATAACCTTATTTATTTTAAATACATATTTGCAAAAATTAAGGAAATTGAAAACTTGAAAAAATGACATTTTTTAACATGGTGTTGATTATGATAAAAAAGAAATATTTCATGTGGATTAAAATAACAGTAGTGTATGATTTATTATTATTATATATATATATATATAATCATTAATATCATTTCTATAATTATTTCATCATTTTATAACCTGATTCAGATCACTTTGTATGGAATAAAAATACCACAGAATTTCAAGGAAGAAAAAAAGAAGATATGATTGCGATAAAAAATGTCAAAATTGAAGAATATAAATACATCAAAAATGTATTTCTAATTAAATTATCTAAAATAATAATAAATCAGAATCTAACAAAAGCAATAAAGTATACGAATAAACATTTCTAGAAAATAACGAATTGAAAAACATAAAATAAATAATAAAATATTTCACATTGAGACAAGAGTAAAAAAATTGTAATTTGAGAATCAATGTTCACAAAGATTGAAAAAATTTCAAATAATTGAAAAAAGAGAAAACAATATGATAATTAAAATAAAAAGAGCACGAATAAATGAATATCTCATCTCTAATTATACTCATTGCAATATGATAAAGAGATAAAAATAGAAGAACCAAAACCATCTGCTTCAATGAATAAAGATTAAAGATAAAAACAAATAATATTGTATTAAAATACAGTATTTATTATTATTGTAAATATTATATTAATTAACGTCATTTCCAATTTCTTTTACTAATTTAATTTTTTATGCAGAATAGATAATCATTCTTTGTGTATTTAAAAAAAATTCTTCTACTTTAAATTATTGAAATGACGACCCGAGTAAGGCGTATAACCCCGGCTAGTTAAAAATAAATAAATAATGATAATAACACAGCTATAGGTTACACGGGTGGTGTACGTTGAACGTACTTAATGTCTCTTGAGAAACAATATTACTGACGAGTGACAAATTGACGAAATTATGACGGACGAGTACGACAGTGCAAATGTATGTGTACATCTTGTCTTGGGGAATTCCGATAATTTTATTCCGAACTACCGCACTAGAATAAAAACCAAAAAGTAAAAATAAGGTATAGTAGTAGGTTAGGATAGTAATACAGTGGTAGTAGTGTGAGCTTTAGGGATAAACAATAAAATATAATATATACCTACCTATATATGGCGTGAGGTGATATTATTACTGCGTAAAACGTATAATACGGATACACAGTAGGGTTGTGTAGATCACGAGCTAGTCGACCCTTTGAAATGAACCGAACAGAGTCGAATCAGTAAGTCCAGATTGGACAACTCCACGACTCAGTACAGTCGATAATTCAAATTCAGTTCACAACTTACAAGTCACTAAATGGTAATTAATTATTATTAGCTAAATATTACTAGCACCACAATATCACCGATTACGAGTATCGACCCCATATTTTCGACTCTCAACTATCGAGTTTATGATAACATATTCTAAATCCCAATGTCTTATCAGCTCGGCAAGGTGACAATAAGTACAACTACCGGGTTTAAGAAAATATGGATTAAAATACAGCTGCCCGCCCATGGTATCTGCAACTGCCGTATAAGTTTGGAAAGATATAAGTAATAAGGATTTTAAATGAGCAAAAAAATGTGCTTCCGCTAAGCGAACTCAACCCAGAGAAGTGAAGATTCAATGGAAAAGATTTACGTGTCTCGTGTCTTATGCAATACACAGTCCCCACCCTGGCAGCTCCCACCTGATCATCGTAGTGGCTATGGGGGGGAGAGCACCAGTGTGTGAACAATGCGTGTAATAATTTTATGACATACTTATATGGCAACACTGATACTTTTAATGATGGAACTGGAGTTCTATTTCGCTAATGAAACTAGGCCAATTACACGTGTACCTGGCTTATTTCCTTCATTCTTGGCATAGTGCTATTTCACTAAAATTCTTACTTTGCATACTGTTGCGTACTTGGCTTTCTTATACATTCGATTTGGTTATCTTTCAGAGTTGTTATCATTGATTGTTTTTATTATTATTCGTTTATCTACGGTGGCCATGTGTTGACTGTTGGTTATTTATACAACGCAACTTGTACTAAATTTTTACCTAAAATTAATGTGGTCTACGGTGGCCATGTGTTGACTGTTGGTCATTTATACAACGCAACTTGTACTAAATTTTTACCTAAAATTAATGTGGCACAACTAAATTTTTTGTTTTCATTTGATGATGACAGTAGACAGTTAAGGATAGAGTGAGTCCTTAGTCGTTAATGGACAGTATATCGATTATCCGACGAAAAATTTCATAACAATTTTCGGATATCAAAACATACATTTGAACGTAATAAATAATTTTATTCGAATTCTAAAAACAATTAAACAGACTCGAAATTTTACATTATTAATCTCCAAAGATTCAAACAATCATCACTTATCAGTTACTACCTTCCCAACTTTTCACGTACAACATTGACTCGTCCATCGTGCGAAGTATGTCCGTTTGTTTTTAATAAATAAACACAATACAATATGTATTATATATGTTTATTAAATATGTATTAAATCCATTATTTAATTTATTTTTGAATAATTGGTTTTATTAAATTTACTGTATTTTACAATATGTTTACTGTTGTTCCATGCGAAAAATAATACAAATTGCCGCCATCGAAATGTACAGGATCTAAAGGATAAAAAATATGGTCACGTTAATTATGGTAGGCTTTCTTCGCATTTACTATTAACTATGTAAGTATGTTTACTGTTAAATTTAGTCAATTTGAGTTGTTATTAATTTATCATCAACATGTCTAAAATAAACTCATGCGAATATTCTAAATTAAATTACTGATAGTATTATTAATTTCATAATCTTATATATAAATTTCAGACAAAAGGACCACCCATGACAAAACCTTCGTTTATAAAACATTATTGTATTGGAAAAAAATTGATTAATAATTAAGTACCTACATGACTACATCTGTTGACTAAATAATTCTATGTAGATATTTCATTTGCGTTGAATTTTTTATCAAGTGTAAGTCAATTTTTTTAAATATTTAACTCATCGAGTTTAGGAATGAACGTGTACACATTCTTAACGTCGAGGAAAATCATTTTTCAGGCCCGATTCAATTTTAATTATAGTTCTTTTTTTCAATAAACCGTAAATATTTTTCATAGAAAAATCGTTGACAATATCTAATTATTCTTTAAACGCATATAGAATACATGAAATTATTCATTTTATTAGTGTGATGACTATTGTGATATCCCGTATATCTTAGTATATCATAGTAGTAAAAGAACAATCAGCCCCCGCCATAATTTTTTACATGGACAATAGGTAATTGCACAATTATTGATCCCTGGCCAATTTTTTTTTCCTGTGACTGTAAATTCAATTTATCAATTTTATATTAATATCACATTTTTAAATAAAATAAAATAAAACACCTGAACATTTTTTTTGATAGCTGTTAATTAAGGCTATCATTTGTCTCGATTTAGGCGGGACAATACAGGTAAATATTTAAAAAATGTCCTTTATATATTATTTAGATACTATATACAAAAATGGCGTTATAGGCACTACTTTATTCTATACTATAACTTATTTGTTTGCAATATTTTTAATATCAACTTTTTAAAAGAAGAACTTTTAAATATTTGCATAGTCTAAGTGTTAATAGTTTATAATAAACATTTTTTATATGTAACATTAAAATTATTACTTTAAATTCAAACTATATTCTATTATAATACTGCATTTTTTTATGTTTCGAAAATATGATATGCCTGTGAACATTTTCAAAAATGTAGTGTTTTATATATTATATTAGTATTAAAACAATTTTTCTATTTCATGGCAGCCATAATATATAATCGATCAAAATTTATATGAGTAAATTGATAAAAAAAAATTCAGGAAAAAAAATTAGCCAGAGACCAATATGTCAAGGCCAGAAAATAGCAAGTATTTAAATTCATCATCACAGCTTTGATGTCTGAAAATATGATACATATCTCATGTTCAAGTCATGGTGGGAATGTAATTTCAATTATAACGATGTATTATATGAGAATGAGGATGAGGCAACTTTCGCAACAACGAAATAAGAAAAAAAAGAAAGACAATAGATATTTAAAAAAATTGTCGAATTCTCAAAAACTTAAAACACCTATGTATAAAAAATAAACTTTGTTAGAATACAAAAATACACATAGGTACTTGTTAAAACACACTCTTTGGATGAATTTTTTAATAATTCACTTGAAAAAAATATTAAAGCTCATTTAATTGAAATATGAGAATTCTGAATATCATAATATAGGTGAATAGATCCTATTAGGGGTGACGGTATTACCGGGATACCGCATACCGGTATACCGCACTTTTTTTTTTTAAATGGTAAACCGAAATTATCGAATATACCAAAACATTGAACATAATATTATCAAGTACATAGTAAATAGTATTTACTAAATACCATAAGGCATAATCAATTATTATTTAAATTATTTTTAAATTGTACAAAATTCCCATTGAGGTTATTAAAATAATATTATAGCTAAATCGATACCCATACATGCAAGTTCATTATCAACAGAGCATGCTGAAGAACTCATATTTTTGTTTATGAACTCTAAATTTATTTAAAAATAAAATTGTATATTTATATATTTTTATTTTTATTTATTCACATATATTCATACTATGTATACACAAATTAATAAATTAATTGTGGATTAAATTTAAAATGCTTCTAATATTTCAGTATCATTTACTTTAGTTTTAAAAAACTCTATACTCTTTAAGTGTCAACCAAATATCACATGCCTCCCCAATGATACAGTAGTGTTTTTGAACTTGATCCAATGAAATAGCATTTTACATTCAGGAGCGTAGCGAGGAATGTATTGGTTTTACAATGTTGTTTATTATTTTTTTTATATTCTGTGAGCACTTTTTTTCTTATAAATCTAGCTGAAAAGTATCGAACATAGACCCTTTATTAAATAAATACTAGAATTAAATTCCACATTATCTTTTAATTAATATTAAACAACAAAACAAAAAATTAAAATAGTTAAAACACAAAAAAAAAATATATTTTTACCGATAATATTGAAACACCGAAAATATCGAAATAACATTTCAATACATTCAATATTTTTAATATTTACGATATTTTCGGTATACCGACTCATATCGTAATAAAATATCATATCGAAATATCGACGTAAAAAAAAAAAACCGTGACCCCTGGGTTATTTTAAAGAACAGTTATAGATAATTATTATCTATGTCTTTGTTTTAAAGTAGGTATAAAGACTAACCTCTAAATAAGTCTATAGAGCAGCGCTCAATTTTACAGTGGTACAACTTGAAAATGAATTTGCCTTACTAAGCGGAATGCTGATAAGGTATAGTTGACCGACCTTATCCTCTAAGACCGTGGTTATAAACATGAAGACTAGAATTATACCACAGATTATAGTCTATATGGTTCCAAGTGTTTTTATCACATGATAATACGTTTTCGTTCCAAAGAGGTTCAATGTATCTAGATTATTCTGCGATATTCATATAACCTTAAATAACCGGATTTCAAAATTAATTTTCAATATTCATTCTATATTGTCATTGTTTATCAACAATATTATATATTAAAATTTTTCATTTTAGATTATAATTCTTTAATTTCTAAGGTTTTCTCAATAATTCTGGTTTTATATAAAAATGGTAATGAAATATTTATATTAAACATGAATATTTTTTACATTTCATGCTTAAATGATCATTTTGATTTTTAAGAATTTAATTTAGAAATATTTTATCTTTAAAAATGAATGTAATTTTAATATTCATTCATTGTCTTAATTTTTTTGTTTTAGGCACGAAGATATGATACACGAACAACTATATTTTCTCCTGAAGGTAATATCTAGCTTTAAATATTTTCTATTAATTTAAAGTTATTAAGATAGCTTTTCCAAAAACAAGAAAAGAAATAATTTTAAAAAATCTTATTTGAATGGATTATAAATTGAATATTATACATATATAATAAGTTATGTATTATGATAATTAAGTAGTAGTTTAGGAAATGGTTTTGCAAAATATAAAACCATTTTTTAAATTAAATCTACTGCTTTAGAAGTCTTTGGTATTGTTGGTTTCCAATTAAAAATGCTATTTTCCACCATCTGAAGTATAGTTTTGTAGTTGGTTATTTGTGTCCATTTTATCATTAATAATTGATTATTATGATTTTAGGTCGTTTATATCAAGTCGAATATGCTATAGAAGCTATCAGTCATGCTGGTACATGTTTAGGTATACTTACTAATGATGGTGTTCTTCTCGCCGCTGAAAAGCGAAATGTGAACAAACTGTTAGATGAATCTTGTGGTTCAGAAAAGATCTATAAACTAAATGAGTAATTTAAATTGTTTTTGATTAAATTTCACACACTCTGAAAAATACTGATAATCCCGTTTTATTTCTAGCGATATGGTATGCAGTGTTGCTGGTATTACTGCTGATGCGAATGTCTTGGTTACTGAATTGCGTTCTATTTCAGAACGATACCGTATGCAATATGGTGATGCTATACCGTGTGAACAACTTGTTTCATGGTTGTGTGACGTAAAACAAGCATATACTCAATATGGAGGTAATTAATTTAAACAAGTAATTAAATAAACAAAATGATAATTAGATTCTATTTCTATACTTCATAGGTAAAAGACCGTTTGGTGTATCAATATTATATATGGGTTGGGATTCGCATTACGGTTTTCAACTGTACCAATCTGATCCTAGTGGAAACTATTGTGGTTGGAAAGCAACTTGTATTGGAACAAATAGTGCTGTTAGTTTAATATTATTTTAAATAAAATAATATGCTAAATTTATAATTACATTTAATTATTATAGGCGGCTATTGCATCATTAAAAACTGAATACAAAGAAGGGCAAATGTCTTTGGATGAAGCTAAAAAATTAGCTGTAAAAATACTATCAAAAACTTTGGATGCAACAAAACTTACAGCTGAGAGAGGTATAGTAATTATCTGTAATTAATATTAATGCATATAAATCCTGTATATTGGCTGATATTTCATCCAATCTTGAAATATGGATCCGTTATCTGGAATCCATATAACTCTGGGAACTCAAATCAGTTGAAAAAGCCCAACGTACATTTTTGAAATTCGTTTGGGTTTTATCTAAAGATATCCCATGCAGAATATGATAACACGCCTAACACAGTCCAACTTAATCTTCTTTCACTGACGGCCTAACGACTTGATTCGAATACAAATTTTTATATGATCTATTGTCTGAGGCAATCAACTCATCAATCCTCTGGTGTTTAATTAATTATAGAATTCCTTCACAACCAACTTGCATTAACACTCTATTTCACTTCCTAGATGATCTACCAATTACTTAACCAATGAATCATTCTATAAATGTATGTAATTGGCCCATACAGACCCTCCTTAGTTTAAGATTTAATTTTATCTTTTCCTAGCATATTTCTGTAGTTTATTATTATTTTATTTTTTTTTTGCAATATATCAATTTCTCTTTATATAAAAACTGCTGTAAATATATATAATAAATAATAAAACGGCTAATTATATCTAAATATAGGAATAAGGATCTAACACAATATATATATATTTCGAGTAACAAAGCTTTCTTTTAATCAAAGTGGCCTTACATATAAACACCTTTGCCAGCTTAAATATTAGTTTGCCAAACTGATATTGAAAATAGAAGTTAAGTAGAAATACAGCACCTAATTTTTATTTTCACTGAAAATCGTTCTCTATATAAGTATCTAAAGACTAACAACTGGTCATGACAATTTTTGTTCTTTTAGAACCTAATTTATTCGATGGGTAGCTGTTTCCAGCAATAGTTGTAGTAATGACAAAAGTAATCTTTCAAAATACCTTGTACAATAATGATAAAAGTGAAATTTATCTGTAGCTTCGTGAGATTAGATTAGGTTATTAGCACATTTCTAACTTGACTTTTGTTAGACCTTCAACGTTTATTTGAACAAATTTGCACTTAAATCATATATTTATTCAAATTAAGATATTTGGTTAATACATAATATTGTATGTATTTTCAGTGGAAATGGCTACACTCAAACGTGAAAAAGATCAGACAGTCACTAATATACTAGAAAAACATGAAGTTGAGAAACTTATTTCTGAGTATGAGAAAATGGAAGCTGAAATTGCTGCAGCAAAGGCTGAAGCCAAAGCTAAAGAAAAGAAAGAAAAAGATGCGAAAGAAAAGGACCAATCTTCATCAACATAAACTTATAAAAATGTTTATGACTAATATAATTATAAATGAAATTGATTTGGTAATGGCCTGTTATAATTTTGTGCCTAAATTAAAAATAACACTTAAATTAATTATTAATTAAGTGTATTCATTATATATATACACATTTTGATTTATCAATATGAGTGATAATGGAAGGTGAATTTAAAATAGTATATGTACACTTTTAAAAATAAAATTTAATTAAACAGTTTATTTCAATCATATTACATTTTATTAAATAGTACTACAGAATAGATACTCAATTGATAAATTTAAAATATACCCTTAAAAGAATTATTCTTCGATTGGAGCAAGATGCTGGGTAGAATACATAAATCGTACAAATTTTAATTAGTGAAATCAGTAACGCTGTAAATTTCATCAATTGTCAGTTTTTTTATTTACGTCTTTTCAGGTTTTCCTAATTATTGTGAACACTTGTTTGTATAAATATTCAAAAAATGACTTTTCCAAAGTACCAACTAAATCCTAAATGCAACAAAAAAGTTATCTTGTTATGATTGGAGCAAGATTTCTGGTAGAAAAGTTATTTATAAACAACCAAAAAATACACATACCAGTAATACCTGTAGAAGTCTATTAATTACTTCTTGCTAGTTACTACTCTCAGAATATAAAATTAAATATTCATTGGTTATCACTAAAACAAAAAAGTGGACTTGTAAATCCTAGTTTGATGTGAGATGTTATTATTTTTTAATTGTTAGATATCAATTATTTGTTCACAGTTGCAAATATTTTTAACTGAATTACATTAAAAAAACAAAATTTAAAATAAAAGCATTATTTTTGTAAATGTTCCAGTTTTTTTTTTTTTTTACGTATTTTTCAGTTTTGCTCAATTATTATTATTGCCATTTAATTATAATATCTCTAAATAAACAATAAAGGTGGCCACATAAAAAAATAAATAAAATCTTTAAAATGTCCATGAATATTTTCATTAAAACTTCTGTGGTCTTACAATACCAATGAATATATATGAAAATCTATGTAGATAAAGTGTGACTTCAATAAGTTGATGTAAATACCTACTATTCCTCTATTGAGTTCTACTTGCCAGCTTTCTTATTTCAACAAGTAAAGGTAATACTGGCATCAAAGACAACATTTTAATTTTAACAATATGTAACTGTGGTATTAATATATGAAATTATTTTTCATGTACATTAATATCTTCAGACCGTTGCCATCAACGATGAAAACCATCACAAATGACATCACCTGACACATGAATATAATATTAACGTACGTGTGTATAGCAAATAGTGTCAATATTAATTAAAATATAAGTATGCCTTTAATAAATTAATATAATAAATAAAATAATAGTTTCTTATAAATTAATATAATTTTGTAATTTCGTAAATAGTATTTATAAGTTAAGAGTTAGTACAAACGTATTGCAACATAATGATGAAATGACAACTAAATGAAACCAATAAAGTACACAACATTTTAAATATGCATGGTACAAGTTTTGTGGAATTTTTAACTTTTAAGACCCTGATACAGTTAAGATAACTAAACGGTCGCTGTTGATGATAAGACACAAATGAAAGGAATTAGAAACATATTTTTTGGTGATATTGTGAATCCTGATTTTTAAGATCGAAACGAACTTTCCTTAAAATTAACTAATCCGAACCGAACTTAACCGAATTTTTCAAACATTAACAAACTCAAACCGAACTTTATTAAAAAGTCGAAAAATTCAAAAATATGATAAAACAACTAAACAATCTGTTTTTGTATCTAGAGTTTTTTGTAACTTGACCGCCCTCTTGCACCACGAGCAGTGAACTATAAAATATATATATATAAGGTTATGTTAAGGTTAGATAATTTTTTTTTTTTAATAGGTATATTAGTCTATATGTCTATATTGTTAGTGACTACACTAAATTAACATCGAATGATTTTCGAATCGAACTATTGGGTATTTGATTTGGTTCGATTAGTTGCAATTTTCAGTTCGATTTTATTAATATCTTTATTTTTTTAGATTTTGAAGGAAGCAACTAAGCAAGGAATGTATTGGTTTTACAGTGATGTTTATTTGTTTTTTCTGTGAACAACTTTTCTACCATCAAAAATCTTACTCCGGTTTTAATGTGTAGTACCTTTCCTGAAAGAAAATTTTTTCTGATTAACACTTTCGAAAAGTTAATTTTTGATTTTCCCAGAAATTGTCATAAAAATTGGGAATAAACGTCGAGAAAACGGGAAAATGTACAAAATGTGTTATTTTCAAATCGTAAATATTACGGTCTTTCAAAACATGTGTAACCGAACTCTGATCGAGATTTATTATTTTTATTTTTGTTCTATATGCTTAAAAATAGGGAACGTCGTTGGAGAACGAATTCGACAAATAACCATATGCACTTCCAATTTCATCTTTTCGTGGACAGCGGGCCCAATACTTAAAAATGTTCAATAATTTAATTGACGGCGTTGGTGGCGCCACTTTGAAAGAGTTTTTCGTCCGCTCACGTTGGAAACACTACAAAACATATGTGGCATAGATTGCATTTCACATAGATAGTCGCCTACGGTACAGAGGGGGGCGGCGGGACATTATTTTACGGCCATCCATTTTATTTTCTCGTTGACGTTCCGTTTGTGCTAAGTAGAAACTACACCCAGTTAGTAACACACGTTCACATTTAAATACATCCAAAATGGCTAACCTATCGCTCCGTTTGGCCACCAAAATCGGAAAACAATTAAACAACACATTGCCGCAGGTAAAGTATAATAATTCTTAAATTTAATAGACTTTGCATCACCCGATCGCCGAAAACGTAGGCTTAATGCCGGTCAGCTAATAGACATGATCCCCAAATCGCTGTTTCCGATTTTCTTTTAAGTCTTGACCAAATATCATCTAAAATTAACAATAATTCGTTGTTTCTCATTAAAAATGAGTATCCGTTTTACTTAAAAACGTATATTTTACGAGCTCCCTTATATATATGTAACCTTCTCGTGACCTTTAGTCAAAACTAAACTATATACCTTAATTTGCCTTATATAACATTATTTAAATAGATTTACTTACATATAACATGTAAAATAATTTATCTTTACATTTTAATTATTCCCGAGTATTTACTTTTTACAAAAATGACAATATTACTTTCTTTTACTATCCAATACATAAAAACCTATATATGTAAGTACAGAAGTAGTTAGCGATTTTTTACCCTGCAAAAGTTTCAATATTTTCATTTAAATTATTTAATTGGATAATTGGAATCGTACCAAATTTATGAAATTCTAGAGTACAAATTGCCTGATTTTTTTTATGTTGTAGATCCTTATTTTTAGCTGCGTATAAATATATCCCTTGTTCGATCTTTAATGAATTAGATTACAAAGCATTTAACAGAAAATAGTAGTAAATTATTTGTGTGCCTTTTCATCCCAAATTTTACATCCACTCATTGACATTTATTATTAACAAATGTACTGAAATGGTTGGTTTTTCATAAAAGTAGTAATAACACTTAGCAAGTGCCACTAATTAAAATATGATATGTGCTCAGATACCTACCTACTCTAGTTGTATGCTATTTAATATCTCCATCTTCAATCAAAATAGTATTTGAAAAAAAAATGTTAGGCACAATAAGTTTAAAAAAAGTGGTGTTTTTTTTTTCTAATGGTTGTGATTTAACTCTCCTTCAGAAATATAAATTGACATTTGTCATTCTACTGGAGATTGAATTTAAACCTGAACAATTATGTCTAGAAGTTATTTAATTTAAACATTTTAAGTTTCTCCTTAAAAGTATTTTATTTCAAAGGAGATTTCATGGAGATACAGGTTTTTAATTTGCTTATAATTAATTGTGTTTTAAACATTTAGATAAGCAAGGCTTCATGGACCACATCAAAACTCATCAGCCGATCATTACATATAACATGCAGTGCACGAGCTGCAGAAATTTCTTCCATTTTAGAAGAAAGAATTTTGGGAGCTCCACCCAAGGTATGTGATAACATTTAAAAATTAAAATTTTAATAAATATACCTAATTTTATGTTTATTTTAGGCTGATTTAGAAGAAACAGGTCGTGTTTTAAGTATCGGTGACGGTATTGCTCGTGTCTATGGTTTAAAAAATGTACAAGCTGAAGAGATGGTGGAATTTTCCTCTGGATTGAAGGTGTTTATAATTATTATTTATTTAGATTCTAAAATTATTAAACCAATATTGGGTTCTAGAAATATATTATTTTAGTATATTTGATTGTCAGTGTTTTAAAGAATTTTCTAATTTAATTATAATTATTAGGGTATGGCTCTTAACTTGGAGCCAGACAATGTGGGAGTTGTAGTATTCGGTAACGATAAGTTAATCAAAGAAGGTGATATTGTAAAACGAACCGGTGCTATTGTTGATGTACCCGTCGGTGAAGATCTTCTTGGGCGTGTAGTTGATGCCTTAGGTAACACCATTGATGGTAAAGGACCATTGACATCCAAAACTAGGTACCGTGTAGGTATTAAGGCTCCTGGTATCATTCCCCGTGTATCTGTACGAGAACCTATGCAGACCGGTATCAAAGCCGTCGACTCACTTGTACCCATCGGTCGTGGTCAGAGAGAATTGATCATTGGAGACAGACAGACTGGGTTGGTTGTAAATTTGAATACATTTAATTGTTGTATACATGTTTAATTAATTTTGTATAATCTATAGCAAAACTGCTTTGGCCATTGACACTATAATTAACCAAAAGAGATTCAACGATGCTACTGATGAAAAGAAGAAATTGTACTGTATTTATGTTGCTATTGGTCAAAAGAGATCGACTGTTGCTCAGATTGTAAAGAGATTGACAGACACTGGTTAGAAAAAAAAAAATATATTGATTGATTGTAAAAATATTTATTTCAATTATTTGTATTCATATTATAGGCGCTATCAAATATACCATCGTTGTATCAGCTACTGCTTCTGATGCCGCTCCCTTACAATACCTTGCCCCATATTCTGGTTGTGCCATGGGTGAATTTTTCAGAGATAATGGCAAACACGCTCTTATCATCTATGATGATTTATCGAAACAAGCTGTTGCTTACCGTCAAGTAATTATAATCTTATGATTGATGGTTTTAAAGAAAAACATTTTGAAATTGATTTTATTTTTAGATGTCACTGTTATTGAGACGTCCACCTGGTCGTGAAGCTTACCCTGGTGATGTGTTCTACCTTCATTCTCGTCTTTTAGAACGTGCAGCTAAGATGAGTGAAACTTTGGGAGGTGGATCATTGACTGCTTTGCCTGTAATTGAAACCCAAGCTGGTGATGTGTCTGCTTACATTCCCACTAATGTCATTTCCATCACTGACGGACAAATTTTCTTGGAAACTGAATTGTTCTACAAGGGTGTCCGTCCAGCTATTAACGTCGGTTTGTCTGTGTCTCGTGTGGGTTCTGCTGCCCAGACCAAAGCCATGAAACAAGTAAGTAGTGTAGCGGTATTGGGTTTTATGAATTCAACAAAATATACTATTTATATTATATCTATTATAGGTTGCTGGTTCCATGAAATTGGAATTGGCCCAATACCGTGAAGTTGCTGCTTTCGCTCAATTTGGTTCCGATTTGGATGCCGCCACTCAACAACTTTTGAACCGTGGTGTTCGTTTGACTGAATTGTTGAAACAAGGACAATATGGTAATTAGGACAATAATATTATAATTTCATTTTTTATGTACATATACTCTTCGTGTTTCAAGATTTTATAAATTGAATATTAATATATTCTATTTTGATTATTATTATTTTCTAGATCACACCTCACATCTTGATTTCATTATTTCAACATTGCTTTATACTTTTATGTACAGATTTGGTATTTTTTCTTTTAATTCTAAACCATTTTATATTCCAGTGCCAATGGCTATTGAAGAACAAGTTGCTGTTGTCTACTGTGGTGTCCGGGGATTCCTTGACAAAATGGAACCATCCAAAATCACTACTTTTGAAAAAGAATTCTTACAACACATTAAGTATGTATTATTTTAAAATTTTAGAATACTTCTTTATCGAATTACTAACCTTGGTTTTTATTTTAGGACCTCTGAGAAACCATTATTAGAAAGTATTGCAAAGGAAGGAAAAATTACAGATGAAACCGACGCTAAATTAAAAACTGTTGTCAACAATTTCTTAGCTTCATTCAATGCTTAAGTATTTAATTGTATGTTCGTTATGAACTCTTAGTTCTCAGAATGTTTCCAGCTCTTTTTATAAAAGGGTTACATCAATAAGCCTATTGTTGTTCATAGTACTATAGCCTTTCAATTTGTATTTACCTTTGCCCTTTTATATAAGTTGAAAGACATTTAAAGAACTGGATTTCCACAATAATTATAATTAGTAATATATGTATTTTTTTTTTTTTTTGTCTACCTAAGTTGTTTAAATTATACATGTTAGACAAAATCAAAGTCACTTAATAGTTATTATTGTTCAAAGGCAATTTTTTTTATTTTAACAAATTTTTAAAAATTACAACAAAAAAATTGTAAAAAAAAAAAAAGTTACAATAATTATTCATCTTTTTCCGATTTACTGATTGGCATATTTTCTGTTGGATAAATTATCAATAATCCTAATTGTGCCAAACTTAATAAGAGTGCCACAGAACATTGGGTCTGAAACATTTAAATAAATTTATTATAAATCATAGATAAATTTAATTTCAAACTTAACTCACAAAAATAATAGGATTCTGTACATTAATACTGTACAAAAGCCATAAAATACAAAGAACTATAGTATTTATCAAGATTGGTTTTGGATGTCCTGACCATTTTTTCGTTTTAATAGTTTCTCTCTGTAAAACCAAAAGACTCATTTTGATTTATTTATTATTTATTTTCATGTTAATTATTAATTAATTTATAATTTTAATTGATCCATTATATAAAATTCATATTAACATTTTATATATATATATAATACAATTTACTTACAACAGATAGTAATGGCCATCCAATTAGTGATAAGTGTATGACTGATACAATAATTGGGAAACGTGTTACAACTACATCTTTTGATTCTATAAATGAATAAGACAGAAAAACTATACTCATTAACGCGGTTTTAAATACTTTTGCTATTACATCATTCTGTAAAAAAAAAAAAAAAAACAAACTATTACCTATTAAATAAAAGCTAATATAAAAAATTAAATTAATAAAAATGCATAATTACTTTTTTATTTGAGTAATACCAATAGAGTGATAAATAAAGTGTGTTAATAAATAGTCCCATCCCGTGGACAAACATTACAGTAGGTAAATTTAAGAGAAACCCTTGACGACAAAATAATGAACTTCTGAAAATTAAAAAAATTACGTACATACTAATAAGTAAGAATTGAAGGTGAGTTTTAAAATTTTAAAATAAAAAGTGCTGTTTTATACGAAAATATTACAACCTACCGTTTTTAAGCCAAAACTATTAGTAATCGACTTGTTCATTTTACTATCCTTTTTTTTTTTATGACTGCTAATAAATATTAATATTATTAAATAATTAAACCTCTAGTATGAAATATATGCGATCACTTCAACATCAATTACAGTTGCTCAAATTTCTTCCAATTATCGAATAAATAAACTGAAAAACATTTCCCAATCGTGCAGTAACTTACTATTATTTCAGCTTTTTATGCAACACATGCTAATAAAATTAATTGTAAATATTTTTTACGCAGGTTAAAAAACTGTGTATTATTATTATTATTGGCTATCATTGAAAATCTGAGTGTAGAAATTGAAATTTTTTTTTTTTACAGTCTGCTAATATTTCCAGCCTAAATAATTTTTGTCAAAAATACTGTTCACAAAATTGTTTTCGCCTTTTATAATCTGATTAATAAAATTCTAATTTTACTTGCCTGAAAAGTGCTCCAACAAATGTAGATAGATTTACATGGTCTGATGATTTTTTCTTCACAATATCCTTGCACACTAACCTATTTTAACACAGTAATTTACGTAAAAACATTTATTTTTCCGATTATATGATTAGGGCATGGATTTTTAGGTTGATACATAATTTTATTGAATGCCGTTTTCCTAAATCTGATTAAAAATAAGCACGTTTCATAATAGCCTGAATAAAATACACGTTTTTATTTTGCATAGTTATTCATATGCAAGTACCTATTAAATTTAACTGGCAGAGAAGCCGATGTCATTTTTTGATACTAAAAACAATTTTCATAGTAATTGAGAAAAACAAAAATACAGTTTATTTAATTAACGATTTCATTTTTAAATCTTTCTAAAATCTTTATTCAAATTTTAAAAAAAATTATATTTTCTGAAAGAAAAATTTGACTAGTTAGTGAGTAAGAAAGTCGTCGTTTGATTTTTGGTAGCTACATAGTTTTTCTAATAATTTCGAAAGATACGTAATAAACACGGCAAAGTGTACGGCATTTGTGTTATTTGTTTTATTAGATTTTAAAATGATTGTAGATACCTGTAGTTTTCATAAAATAATTATATTGGTTTTTTTGTAGACGTGGTAAAATTTTCAAACCATTTTAATTATTTTTAGGCAATTATGTTATTAATATTGTATGGGAAATGCTTAAAAATTTAACACACGGTACATTTTAAGTTGTTCTTAGTCATCTAAAAAACAAATTTGAGTTTAATGCGTTAGTTTTTTTGTTATAGGCGTAATAAAATCAAATTTTTACGAAAATCATAAAAATTTCGGCATTTCAAAATATGTCTAACCGAACTCCGAATCGTTTTTCGTTAGCAATGGGTTTTCTTTGCATATAGATAGAAATTAAATAACTTTATATAAGTACCCTACTTTCCCAATTTCTTATCTACAACAGTGGCTACACCCTTCCTATTAGTATCAGCTCTTTTTTTCTTTCACGAGCACTTTTTCTCCTAGAAAACTTACTTCGATGTTTAAGTCTACCACTTTTTCTAAATGGTATTTTTATTTGATTTTCAAAGCGATATTCAAAATAATTACTATTAATCGGGAAAAACGTATGATGTATCGACGATCTCGTTATTTTAAATATTTAAGAACGTTTTCTACCAGTAATATTGCTTGTATAGAAAAACGACAAGACGTTTTTTTGTGCATTTTGGAATTAGTATCTCATGCTGCAAGTCGGTTTTTTGATTTTCCAAGTAGTTTTCATAATAGACGACCGTAACTGCGGGTAACGGCTAACGCACATACCGTACTTATACGGGACACCGCCGGCGAGGCGGTCGGTGACGTCACTGGTCATGATTCTGCAGGGAATTTACGTGACCGTGGGGAAACCTTTATTCTTTATTAATCTTGATTTAAGATAAAATAAGATACAAAGTATATCTTAACCCAATAGACACAACATTTACGGTATTAAAAATCGTATAAAATAATAGGAAAGACCCGGTAATACTATAACAGAATGGATGAAATCTTTTGTATATCCTGCGATAATACTATCAACAATAGGGAAATCACCACGTGACGAGACCGTGACAGTCGTGAATATGAGAACGTGCAGTTGATAGCACAGTAATTGTGTCCAATTATACGAACATTTTTTTATAGTCCGATTATAATACATTGTCTACTTACAGAGGTGTCAACATCATTGCCGTGGACGCACAACCGGCAGAAAAAGAAACCGCTTTTACATACATATCATACATCATGTGTTTGGTATGGGTCTGGTTGTACTCAGAAATATCGAACCACTAACGAACTACACTATTAATTATTATAGTGCACTAGGACGCATTAGGTACTCAAAAATGATGTGTACTCAAGAGACACACGATCAACAATGAGCAATAATAATAATTTTAAATAGAGTGTATAATCTAAATACTGATACGAGATTATTAGCAATAATAGACCATTATGTTGTTACGATGCATAAATGTAATACACCGTAAAAAGAAAAAAGTACACTTTTTTTTTTTTTTATCAACGCGAGGTTGTATATTATTTAAATGTGATAAAGATAAACATTAAAAAAAATATTTGTCATTCAGCTCTATATCCACACTATATATTATAATTACATAAGTAATAAATACATTATATATATTTATGTATATATATTAATAATATACATAGCACACGGTTTAAACATTTCCCTACATGAACTCGTCGTAATCGTCCACTGTATAAGCCGAAAACTCATCGTAATCCTGAATCTGAAACAACAATATTTAAATAACTAAAAAGTTAGAAATTTAATTATTAACTTTAAAATAAATATTTGAAGTTTGTGAAAAAAATGATTATTAAATTTATAGAAAAAAGTGAATCTTAATAATAAATTTAAAAAAGGGAGTTTTAGTTAGTTTTCCGTGTATATGTTTTTGATATAAATAAATAAATATTAGTTTAATAAGATTATGTAAACATTGAAATATTTCCAATGAAACAATATTTAATTTATTAAGGCCATCAAGGTCATTTCACTATCAAATATCAATTGAAAAAAAAAACATAAAATATGTGCAATTATCAGCGCTTCTTAATATTAGTCTGAGGTACATCACAATATACAATTGTATATAAAAAAAACCCTGTTAATATTAATGATCATATATTTAGTGATTTATAAGAACAATAACTGATTCTCATACTACTATTTTAAATAGTTTCAGAGATTTATTTCTTGTCTAAGGTAATTCATGTACAAAGGCCTGATGGACAACACAAAATAAAAATAGAGTGATATAAGGACAGTAGGCATACACAAATAATAAATAAAGCAGTGTAGATAATGGTTAAGGACTAGAGTAGCCCAAGCCCCCCTCCAAATAGCTGCTATTTTTATAAAAAAAAATTAACATACATTAATATTTTAATTTTTGTCATACAATAGTAATTTAGATCAACTGAGTATGCATTAATCTAAGAAAATTGTATTTTTTGATAATAGCTGCCACTTTAAAATCAAAATCTAATTATACTCACAGCTACTTTTAATTAACTGTAAATGCACAACATATATTTATACCTTTTTTCTATAGGTATTTATATTACTCTATGGTATGTTTTTTCTTCATATTATTTATTTTCATTTGTATTTCATATATATATATATATATTTGTTATTAAATTTATTTAAATTTAAATCATAAAATATTTTATCTGTATAATAGTAATTATAATAAAATAGTTTACTTACTGCACTGTTATCTATTCGCAGTTTAGCTTTTCCTTTTCCTTTATTCTTTTTACTTTTGTCGCCTTTTTCGGCTTTCATTTTTTCTATATTCATATTATCTACAGTTACTTTTAATTTCCTTAAGTCAGACATTGATACTAAAATAATAAAATCCATATGTATTATAATAAATTATCCTACTAAAAAAATGTACAGATTTTAATCACATCACACTTACAGGTAACAGATAAATTTCTAATAAGTTCTTCAATAAAATCAGAGTAATGCTCAGATTTAGAAAAATTTGTTATTTTTTTTTGAAGTGCTTGTTCAAAAACTGAAAAATCCTCTTTAGATTTGGGATTCATCCTATCTATTGAGTCTTCATCACCTTCATCATCAACACCTAACATTTCTTTAGCTACTTCAAAATCAGCTTCTTCTTGAAGTTTTTGTTGCAACAGTTTTTTTTCTTCTGGTGTCATATTGGAATTTTCTTCGGCCTCCAAAAATTTACGTCTCATCTTTTCATTTTCTATTGCTTGTTTACGCTATAAATAAAAATATAAAGTTTTAAATAAAACAATTTCATATTTTGCTACAATATTATTTGTTGTTTGAGGATTTAGCCATGCACTTGTTATCTCTATCTTACTATATAGCACATTTATATTTTGTAAAATCATTTCTGTCTAATTAATTTAAATATTGTAGTGATTAAACTTAAATTGAAGAACTCACATACAAATTTAAATATTAGAAAAAACCAATGTACAAACACAGATAATGTTTCACGTTAATGATCAAATGAAACTAAACCATATATATTTTTATAAAGATACAGTATGTATGGAAGTACACTTTTTCCTCACAACCAATGACTGATTTACAAATGGTTATGTTTGTGAGTAGCCTTGAGTCCCAACAATAACAAGAGAATTGGTTGAAATGGGTTTAAGTAGTAGGGTGCTATAAAATGTAACTCTATTTCAGGCTTATGGTATTTATACTATTGTAAGATCACGGTTATCTAATATTATATAACATAGTTTTGTTGCGTTGTTTATTTTCTATGTTCAATCTAAGGAGGCGTGCACGTGTTGTAAATTTTAAAAATAAAAAAGTAAAATAATAATTATTAAAACTGTTCAGGGACTGAAAGTAAGTAATTTTTCTGTACTTTTCCTGAACTTCAATCATTAAATAGGTATCTACTTATACAACATCAAAAATTCACATCTAGGGGGCTTTAATAAAGTGACTGTATTTTCACCTTTATAGAATTTAACTAGGACTAACAATCTACATCCTAATAATAATAATTCATAATCTATTAAATAAATATTTAAATACGTGTTTGGTCTATTTCAAAAATCCAATCCCTTAAGAATTGAATAAAGGCGTCAAAAGTTAATTAGATTAAAAATAACTATACATGATTTATGTAGAAGTATTTGTAACAAATCATTTTTATTTTTGGGAATTGGTGTAGTGATGGGAGAAAATAATAGTAACGATGATTTTTAACAGTTATTGTATGTTTTGTTTTCATTATAATCATAAAACTAGTTATCACAATATAGATAATACACTGATAACTGGTTACACCAAACTAAGTGTAATTTTGAGGGAAAATCATTTTATAGTCAATTTTTTTGTCAATAAAAATAGTTTAAAATACCTTTTACTATTTCCGATTATTGCGAGTATATTTAATTTTAACTATATCAATTTAATTATCTTACGTAGATCCAGTAAAGAAGGGATTATAAAAGTATACACAATATAGGTAGGTCAATTACAACGGAACGTTGAGATGACGTTTAACCTTTTAAAAATGAGTTAAACTATAAAATTACAGTATTATACCATATTAATTTATTTTATATTATTTTTCAATAAAAACTAAAAAAAAAATAGTTTGAGCTATTAAACTAAATAAAAATAAACCCTAGTAATAACCAAATGAAATTGTTATTTTTTTTATGAAAACTGATTAATTTTAATAATATTTATATTATAATATAATAAACATATAAATAACATTTTTATCTAAATCATGATTCAAGAATAATAATTTTTCAACTTTATCAATAGCGAGTCTTGACTTGTTTCATTGTCAAGACTGCCGTTGGAGAATAAGTGCTCACATATTCAATGAATTCAACTTAAAATTTTCATAAAATCGGTCAAGTAGCTTTTGAGTATACTAGCTACAAACATACATTCGACTTTAATATGATCTATGGTTTTACTACACTGAATAGAACAGGCTTAATAATTAATTAATTTGTCACTGATTCAAAAAAAAGTAGATTCACTTAATGATAAGAACAATTTTAGATGCATAATCATATCATCACTAGACTGATCCATTCAAATGCGAATCATTCAAACTACCAAAAATTCCTACCTCCAATACACACACAAAGTTGCTGATAACAGATAGTAATAAAACTGAAAGTATAAAATTAGTTTGACTGAAAGTAAATTTGATATGAAAGATAGAACTGTATGTGTAGCGCCCTCTTAATTTTATAAATTTCTGATCTGAATCCACAATGTTTAATTGTTAGGTCTACACATATATATTAAGCAACATAGAGAACATATAGGTACCTCTCTTTCAGCTATCTTTTGTTCCAATTTTGATTTTGTTTTTTTTTCTGGGATTTTCGTCTCGGGTTTTTTTGTTTCTTCTTCATCTGCATCCCAACTGTCCTATAAATAATAATAATAAAAAAAATGTCAACTATTAAATAATTATACTCCATACAAACGAACATAGACCTATTGAATTTTATTTAGTATATTAGTATAAATGAGGATTTTAAGTGCAAAAAATTCAATAATAGGCTTGAGTGAAAATGAAAGTATTGACAAAAAAATTATAGATTCTTATATATATATTTTTAACCTTAATATTTTCCTCTTCATCTTCGCCTTCCCATTTATTGATTTTGGCACCACCAACAACATTTATAGGGACGACGGGTGTTGGGGGTTCAAAATTATCAGCATCTAAAACAAAAAAAAAAGTCTATTGGGTTAACAGAGTACTTTTACATAATGTCGAGTTAGTAGGTACTTCCTGTACCAAATATAATATTTGCGCACATATAGAACAAGTTCCAAAAACAATGATATAAAATATATTATTAAAATAATTTATTAGCTTTTAAATAACAGTATCATCTCACTTACCCCACTCCATGATCACGTGTATCGCTTAGGATTTTTCCGATGGGCGTTAGTAAACCTTTGGTGTAATGTGTTTGTCAGAAAGGATTAATGTAAACTGCTATAGAAGCGAGAGCAAAGTACTTCGATGCGTATTCGGCCAATGTTCCGTTGAGCCAATTCTTTGTATTAAACATAACAAATAGGAGGAAATATGTTAAAAACGTATACGTTGTATCGTCAGCAAACACTATTTTGGCGATTCAATAATTTTAGTGAAATTTTATCGCTACCAACCCGTGGAAAAAAAAATACGCAAGATATTTACAGTGTTACCGAATGCGATTTCAGTTTTCATCAGTTGTGTCACCGATCCCACACGTTCGTTTTTTCCATAATAGGTCTATACTATAGCTTTTAGGTCTATGGTTATTGGTTAATGTTTATGGTGTTTTCCACAATCACGTTTGAGAAATAGAATAGATAGAACATAACTCTATGAGAATATTTAGATTATGAACTCTCCTTATTCCTTTTGTAAAGTACCATATCTTCTTTATATTTAGAGACATTTTGTGAGTTTGTGACCTCTATTTAAAAATGAATTTAATAAAACAGTACCGTGACAATAATAATTAAAGTAGTAATGCATCTATTCCGGTAATTTGAAAAAATCCCCGGAAAAAAAATATCTCTGAAATTAAATTCCCAAAACAACTATGCTGTCAATAGTCCTTGGATGCGTTTAATCTTAGCAAATAAAATAATATATTTGTTAGAGGTCAGGTCATAACTCATTACTTAAATGAAAGGTCTCGTACTCTCGTATGTTGATCGGACCATACTAAAGTAATAAATACTATTGGTAGAAATGGACAAAACGGGTTATTTGAATACTGTTCGTTTAGATTGGGTCATTCAAAAGACCAGTTCATAAAATTCGTTTACGTAAATTATGAACCAATTAAACTGAATGACTATAAATGTCTATTTATGTCTAAGATGTCAATATGACTTATACCTACCGAGTCAAAAGATCTTATCGGTTATCATTTTAAAGGTTACAATTCTATTTCATTCCGTAAAAATGTTGTGTACTTGAATAACTTGTGTTGATTTTTTTCTGTAAGTATAGAATGTATTTCGGGATTAAGAGTTAAGACTTCGATTACGACTTACGGGTGCCTAGTTATCATAATAATAAAGTAAACACTAAGGTACTTCTTAGTCACAACTATTTGTTTATTGATTATCGTTTAAAGTTATTCTGTATGTCGTGTGGTACTTATATCAATATCATAATAATAATATTATGTGTTTATTTTTTTGTGAAGTATAAGATCTTTAATCTTGATATATTATACAGCCGTATGATTCGTGGTTTAACTTGTAATCGCGGTTATAATAAACTATCCATGGCTGCTCAAATCGCTAAAAAATATTCGTTTTATGAACGGTATGAATGACTTCTTGCTTGTTTCGTGGGTAGATTCGTTCACAAGTGTCTAATGCAGATATGTCAAATTAAAAGTACCAAGTGGCCAAATATGTCGAATAGTTTACTATGGGGGCCGCACATAAACATTTAATTAAAAAAAAAAAAAAAAACAATTTATACAAATTATATTCTTTATGAACACAACATAAATATTTTGTAAACATTTTTAATTTTTTTTATAAATATCCAATCACGCGATGGTCATCGAACCGCTGTATTAGTATATTGGGTGTTGACAATGTATGCAATTGAAATGCACGCGCGTCGTATACCGATATCAATTGTAACTAAGTACAATAACATATACGAAAATTTACTATATACCAAGTTGTGGCATAAAATTAATATCATAATTTTTCTATTCTATCCATTAATATTGGGAGCTGCGCGCCGCGTGTTTGAAATGCCTGGTGTAATGTGACCCGTTCAATAAGAACACTTCGTTCGCAAACGACACATCTTTAAATATTGGTTAATTACGCATATAAATACATATTATGACATATTAAAAATAAATGCAACGACATTAGGCCAAACAGGTGAATATATTTGATGTGGAATGCAACATTTTACTTAATCCAATGTTATTATTACGTATGCAGCTTAGTAAAAATATTTATTCAAAAAAAAGGACAACAAAATAATATGTATTAAATATTTGCAGACAATTTTTGTAATAATTATTTTTTATTAATATCAATAATGTGTTAAATTTTAGTATAATATATATTTGAAATTAACATAGGTAAGTACCTTAGTACCAAGTATAAGTACTGAACAATATGGTTTACTAAAGTTAAGCACTTAATTACCCAAAACAATATCTTATGAGAAATTAAAAATATAATACGAGATTTTTTTAATAGAAAAGTAAAATAATCAACCCAATTACGATGATAAAGTTTTCTCTTTTTCCACCTTGACCATTAATTGGACTGGTAGTAGACATTTGGCTTTTCCCTTAAAAAAAATAAAATGTTCTATAATAAATTGTATAGGTTTTATTATTTAACCTATTATGACATACACTTACACATTCAAATTAAAAGCATTAAATTATATTATTTAACTCAACATGTTATATAAATACAAATCTAAATGTTGAAAACTTCAGTTATTAAAATATTATTTCAAATTATTTACAAATTTAATGACAATAAAACCAAATTTAAAATCAAAATTAAAATATTTCCTGTATTGTCTCCTACAAAAATATTAAAAGTTTATCGCATGGTTATTAATCTTTAATTATTATTTATTATCATTGGACTTGTATGATTTCTCTCAAAAGATAATTCAAATTTAATAATTTTTAACTAATTAATATATATGCCATAGGTATCATAAAAATGTTGTAGCTGTTAAGTTGTTTTGGTTTGTATGAAATATGTTACTCACATTTCATGCCAAGGTGATGATGACAACAACAAGCCAATAGTCGATCAAACACTCCACAATCCCGGACAGTAGGCTCACAGTTTCTGGATCTCACATAGCAAGTGTGTGCAATATAGGGAAACACTTCTGTAAAATAAATTAACATTTCAAAGTAGTAAGAACAATAAAATACTGAATATAATATACCATGGTATTTTCTCTGGCAACAACAATGATCTTCAATAACATCACTTGACAAACAATATTCAATTTCTCTTCTGGTGCACTCTTTGCAACCGGCTCCTATCACTAATAAAATAGTTAAATACATTACATGTTTATACAAATAATTGTTATTAATTTTACTTAGATCTGGTTTGAGGTGTTGAATAGCATTTTCAGCACTCTCCTGTGTAACACTATGTTCAATTAGTAAATGATCATCGGATGCAGATTTATTACTACTACCAGGAGCACTCAAAACACTAACAAACATTAAACTCAACAACAAATGCATGGTGTATGACCACGACTACTTGTAAATAAGCAATGCAATCAGAATCCAATAAAAATAATGTAATGTCATGGTATATTTGGGTGATTTTCACTTTTCATTAACAATTTGTCACGCACAGAAAATTGACAGGAAAAAAATACAATACAAATATTTTCTATTACTTTAAATCAAAAGAGAAATGTATATTTCATATATTTTTTTATTTACATAAACATTATTTAAATAATTAAATAAATATCAAAATATATTTAATGACTTTTGAAGGAAAAAAGTTAACAAATGGACGGAGTTAGTTTCACAAATTAATGCTAAAAGTAAAAACTTAATTAAAATCGATTACAATTTAACATGCTAAATATAATAATTATTATTACAATATTGTTCATTAATTATTAAACATTATTTTAGAATATTTCGGTACACTTGAACACATATAACTCTATATACTTAAATAATATATTTTATTATAAAATAATTGTTCTTCAATGTAACTAAAATTAAAATAACAGATCTAATCCGAAATTTAAGATTAATGTTTGAGTGAATAATATATTTTATTAGCTAATAAAAACTATAAATAAAAAAAAACATACTAAAATGTTAAATAATTGCATTTAATATATTTATTAATGAATATATTGTTAATATTTGTTCAAAGACATAATCTTTGAATACTAGATATTCCAAAAATAAAAATATTTAAATATGGTATGAAATGTAATATATTAACTATTAGTTACTTTTATGCTAATACATTGAACAAGTATAGTAGAATATAAATCACATTCCATTTTATAATTTATAAATTATATATTTATAGTATTTTGAATAATACTATCATTTAAATCAGTGTATTATAATATATTTTCAATATAATATTAGTTTATAAAATAAAAAAAAAATCAATAATAATTTTAACTCTTGACAGTTATTCATATAAAAACATTTAAAGCTATTATTAGTTGGCAATTTATTATTATTTGAAGTTAAAATTGGTAATAACTTATTTTTAAATATTAGAAATTGATAACGTTTTACATGTTTAAAACAACATTTATTATGAAATTTTAATAATATAAAAGGTTTACGTGGAAAAACAATGTTTTTAGTAGGTATCGAGTGAGATTTGTAAATACAAATTCAGACCTTTAATCCAATGATTCCCATAACTGCACTTTATTATAACTAAAAAAAAAAAATACAAAACAAACTACACACCATTTATTTAGCAGTGTACTGAATCTACAAATTATATACATGTAGACTGTATGATAATATAATTCAATAAATAATAAAGTTATATTCAGTAATTTGATAATTTACATTGTCATGATATTAACTTTTGGCTAATAATTTTTGATAATGGTTAAAATATATTTCAACAATATATAAATATTTAAAATTATTATAATTTCAATCCCATTGCTATCTAATACATACAATGTGTCCTGACAGTATCATATGAAAGTATATGATGCTGGCCAGTATATTGTATATCCTTATTTGTATTATTTGTGTAGTGTATAAAATAAAATTATCAAACATATTTATTTACTAATAGTGCCTTATTTACTAAATAGAATTAACCAACTGTTTAAGTTAGTTATTAATAAATACAAAAAATGTATGTATGCTTTTGATAAATGTTCACTAGAAAACTTTGTTTCAATATAAAAATGATATTCTTATATTATGTTTGATATGATTCGTAAAAAAATATGTGTTTATTTATATATGTTGCAGAAAAGGGGTGTTTTTATGGTACATTAGAATCAAAATAGTGTGTACAGTTTTTACCTACTATGCAGTTATAGATCACGTGTTTAATTATTTATACTAAAAAAGAAAATTTTTTTTTTATTCAATAAAAATAATGGTCCAAAAATTATTCAATTTAATTTATGTATAAAAAAAAAAAATACTATTTTAAGCCAGTCTTGGAATTACTTATTTAATCTTTAAAAGATATTTGGTCCTTAAAAGGTGCATTTAGATTAAACATTTTAGCATACCTACTATTTGGTTTAAGTCATTACTGTTTGCTTGTTATAAACATAAGATATAAGACAAATAACAACGGAGATCATTGCAGTTGGAATGGACAATTGAACAGCACTATTAAATATTGGACAGTAAGGGCAGTGACTACTACCACATACTTCACAAATATTCAACAAATACGTTGGCAGAGCATCAAATATTGTTTCGTTAAATCGTTCTAAAACATAACAATAGTTTTATCATAGAATATTAAAATATAATTAAGGATTTAGTATATAATCTATATTTTCTTTAATAAAACTTATAAACAAACCTGGAGCATAATAATCATATACACGTATAGGTAAATAACGAGACATATTTGCTACAGGATACCATCTCTCTATAGTAAATTTAACACATGTTTCTGAGTCATCCAACTATAAATAAAAAACAAAATAAGTTTTAACTATTTATATATATATATATATAAAAAATAATATGCATAAACATATATTAATTATTACATAATCAAAGTAAAACAATAGTTTTCCTGGGAAATATCGAGCTCTTTGTAAATTTGGAACTTTTCGCTGTAAGACATAAGCATCTAAATTTTGTTGTTGCATTATATAGCCAGTTGGAATGGTAACATCTAAAACAGCCAATCCAGATCTAGGTGATTCTTCATGATAGGTCCACCTTAATAAAAATTAATTCAGTCATTAAAATTAAAATAGAAGTATCAATATTATTTATTGTAATTACTTTTGGCAACTCCGATAAGTAATATGAGACTGATTGCGGCCATGAAAATCTGCACGTGTTACTAATCCAAACGCTCGTTCAGGAGGAGTTGTTTGAAATTTAGCTACGTCTACATTATATTGAACAGACATTTGTAAGATTGCATAGCCTGAACCTTTGGCTTGCACTTTAACAGTACCCCAAGCTTGTGGAATCTTAAATATAAATGTTGATAATAATATTAATTATCAAATTATTATACAATGAATTATTAAATATTAATAAATACAATTTAAAAACTAACAAATTTAAAAACAAATTACCTCTATTTTTTGTAATTGAGCTATATTTTCACTGTTAACTTTTAATATCTTTGTTTTTCCCGAAAGAGCTGTTGCTTCAACAGTAACTGTCAATGTAAATACATCTCTAAGTCTGTTTCTGTTTGTGTACTCGATTAGAGCTTTCATAGCAATAGCAGTATCTTGTGTGGAGGCCCAACCACCATCAGTAAGTCTTTGAGAATTTAACCACTTAACAACATCATCAACAAATGGTTCTTTTCTAGCAACATATACAAGCAGAGCATACGCTGTTGTTTCAATATTAATAGAGTCAAATTTGTACGGTAGACGTGGTAACAAAAAAGGTTTTTGATTTTCCATTTTTGTAGGAGGCATAGGAACAAATTCTTTACCCCAATACATTAATCCACCTATAAAAATATTAAAATCAAAATACTATCTTTAATAAAATTCAGAATATTAAAAACAAACCTTCTCTTCTGGAATGTCTAGCTAATAGACTAAATGCAAATTCCGCAAAAGAAGATTTAGTCAACATCAATGCATAAGCAACAAGAGCAATTTCATATGGTTCCCCAGACATATTTAATAAATTCATATTTTTTTCTAAATACTTTACGGCTCGACTTTCACCCTGAGCGATTTTTGATCCCAATCCCTAGCATAAAATTAAATCATATAGGTAGATACAAAATATATTAAAAGTTATAAAATACAAATTTTATCACTTACCCCTGACAAATCTTTTGCGTTTGTTAATGTTATAAGAACTTGGGCAGTTAATGATATATTAGAAAATCTTTGTACTCTATTGTTGCCATATAAAATGTTTCTATGTATGGTACTGTTAACCTTACGATCAGGGAACCACGAAACATCATAAAATGATCCTTCTTCAGTTTGATGATCCAATACCCATATTAAAGCTTTTGAAATCACCTAAATTTATTTAAGATATTAATAATAATTAATTATATTTTAAATATAGTAAAATGTTAGATTATAATATTATAATTAATTGCTGTATACTGTTATTTTTTTATTAGTTTACATTTTTACTAAGAAATATTCTCTTTATTACCTGAGGATCAATAAATATAAAATTTTCCCATTCATAAAAGTTTGCTTCTTGAAATACTCTAGCACAGTATGAAGTTAACCACACACTCGAATAAGACATGTTCCTAAAATAATAAATTAAATATTCGGAAAAAAAAATAAAAACATAAGATTACAAAATAAATATCATACCAGTCACTTCTGAAAAGACTAAATGATCCATCACTGTTCATATATGACAACATACGTTGATATCCAATATTCAGATAGTAAAATGACTGTTTCTCTAATGTTCTATTTCGTTGATTTGCATATCGCATATAAATTGTTGTATATAAATTAGCGGCAAAACTAAACATTGTTTGTTCAGCAGCATCCTGGCATTTAAGAAATAAAATTTAACATTCAATCTAATAATTAATAATAAGTAAAGTGTTACCATAGGTAAATTAAGTAATGATGTTGCATTAACAGGCATTGTGGGGAATATTGGTCCAACAACATCTCCAACTAATGAAACATGGGCTTTGTTTGACCCATATACATAGTATCGATCGATACTATAGGGTATAATAGGAGTTTCAGTAACATTTACATGCAAATATTGGAAAACATATGCTCTATTACTGAGATCCAAAATCATTGATTGATGTCTGTATTGAGGTACTCCATCCGACTAAAGAGAAATTATAGAATCACTACAATGCAATATATACAAATAAACATTCATAACTAAATATAAACATACATCCACATGTAAAATTCTCGTTATACGATCATTAGCCATTAGGGCACTAGCTTCAATAGTGATGCTAATGTCACCAAGTCTTGTAGGTACTATAGGTAAATAGACAAATTTTGCATCTTGAAACTTTACAAAAACCAAAATTTGATGATCACCATGAGATGTTCTAGGATTATAAGAGCTAACCTAAATAAAAATGATTAATTCAAAACTAATTGTGATATCTATAAAATTATATATATTATTATTTTTCATACTATTCCATCATCTTCGACATGAACAAATTTATAAGAATCTGACCCGGATAAAACAACTAAAGCTTCAATACTACTGTACATGTAATTAAAGACAGTCACACGAATTCCAATTTGCTCGCCTTGTTTACAATGAGTAGGCATTTCGACATTCATAAAAAAAGGCATTATTCCAGCATACTGTAAAATATGTTATATTAAAAGAATAATAAAAATGTAGAATATATTAATAATACATACTTCGATAGGCTTTTTAACCATACCAAATCCGTTTGTAGGACTCAAACTAAATGCGGTTATCATCCAATGTGCAGGACGGTGGGGTACATCTATATCAAATAGGAAGCGTCCATGAGGACCAATATTAATATCTTGCCACATCCATACATTATCATAATGTCTTTGAAGATGATTGTAACGAAACTTTCGGAAGTTATTGAATTCAGTACGATTAAATATTGGACCTAATACATACATAGAACAAAGTAAAATAAAAAACAGATGAAATTTGTATTTTTTGTTTTATTTACAATATTAATTTATGTTACTAAAATAGGTACTTGTTTATTGTATACTTTATTTAGAATTTAAAACATGTTTTTAAGAATCAAAAAATATCACCAAACTAATTCCAAAAAAAAATATACTTAATTACCATGATAGTGTTATTATACTGTAATGAATATTTGTTAATTTGGTCAAATTCTGATCGATCAAAACACAAATTAATTTTAGTTATTATACTTTTATGATGTAGGCTACTTTAAATTTATTAAATAGTATTTGCTATTTTACACTTACTTAAAAGTTAAAATGAATGGATAATTGAATTATTAATTAACTGATGAATTAGGTACTAGAATTAAAATTATAAATATTTAATAATAAAAATAAATGTGAAGTCAAAAGCTCTATCTAAAATATTTTATATGATTAAGTAGAGATATATAAATAGACTGTATAAAATCATAATAGAATTTTTAAAACCAGAATATGTATAAAATACTTAATTAGAACAGTTATATTTTAATTAAAATTATCATCAAAAATTTCAACAGAAAAATGTATTTAAATTAATATTTCATTTATTTATGGAATTTTGAATATAGGTTGCCATTTGAAAATCAAAAATTACTAGTTGTTTTACTTCTAAAAGTAATGGAAATTTATCATTTTAAAGAGTTGCATACATCTTAAATTATCAGAAAAATAATTTTAAAAATTAATACTTTTAGAAATATCGCAATGCCAATATATTTAATAGTATTAAATTAAAAATTAAAAATATGATTTAATATATTTACAAAGTGCTTCATCAGTGCCATCGCTGCAGTCAAGATGCCCATCACATTTTCTATTTGCCATGTAACATTGTCCATTAAGACATTCAGCCTGTCCTAGAGTCCGGTTACACAAAGTAATTCGAAGTGGCAGAACAACATCAGTAAATACAACTACACCAGCAAATCTATTAGGGAAAGTTATTTGAAAAATAAATAATACCTCTAAAAATGTTTATAAAAAATCAACATTACCATAATTAGAATTATTTTGCAAGTACTAAGCAATGATAGTAGATATATTCAAACAAAAAAATATTTTTTTTTTTAAAACAAATTGATGAAATATTGTATAATTTATCATTTAAGTAATCACAGTCTAACAGCCTACAATACAACACTTATAACTATAATCAATGATCACAATTTGTTCACTCTTAAAACCAAATAAGGTGACAAAAAAGAATAACAAAACAGCCTATAATAAAGACTATGCCAAAAACAAATTATTATTTTAAATGGAGATTTCTGGATAAATATTGAGAAATTAATACACATATATTATACAAACTCATTTTTATTTTTTTGTTAATACTTTATTAACTTACTCGAATGTACGATTTGCATCAATCCCGAAAGTGGATGATGGAAAATAAACAATTTCATCAGGAGAACCTTCATGAGATAGCCAAGTATGCATAATTGTTCCATTTGTATCTTCATCAAATCTTTCCATTTTAGTTAAAATCTAAATCAAAATAAGTAAAATTGTACATATTGATACTCAGTTGATAGAGCATAAATATACCTTAGCGTATGTTAATTCATTTCCTGCTTGTAGACTATAGAAAGGATAATCTAAACTAGATAAACCAACATATGCTCCTGGTTCACCGTATATTGCTACTTCAACCTTTTCACCATTCCTAGCTTTTTTATTATTGATAAATACAGTGAACTATTAAAAGTAAATACAAATTAAAATTATTTGATATTTATCAAAGGTATAAATAATGCAATTATCTTTCAATTTGAACTTACATTATTTCTTGATATTCCATTCACCGGGAAAGTTAAACTATCTGCAACTACATCTCCAAATTTACCAACATGGTACACAAGAATAGTAGCAGCTGGGGCCATTTCAGCTGATAAAGTAATAGCAAATGTCCGAATGGTTGAAGCATGTGTTACTTCTTGTCCAGTTAATAATATCATACCTTTAGAGAGCAAGATATAATCAAAAGATTCCAAATAGTAATTACTTTGAACATGAAATACTATAAACTGGCCAACCTATGAAATATACAAATTAATATTGCCTAAACATACTTGTATAAAAGTTAAATTTTTTTAATAATGTAAAATACAATACCTTGGCATCTTTAGTTGAAGTCCAAACTTTAAGATGATGTTGACTAGGTGAATAATGTGTAAGTAAATATAAATCTGCAGTTGATGTTTCACCAAACATATCTTTAAAATGTACATATATTTTCATTGAATCAATATTCTTTAATAAATCTGAACCGTCTTTACTGATTCCAAAACCTAAAATATAATTTTAAGTATAATTTATATATATAAATGCAAATACATTTTATTTCTGAAAATTCACCTAATTCAGTACGCAAATATAATTTGATTTCAAATACTCCTTCATGATCAGTTGACATTTTTATTGTTTTTGAATCGATTCTCCGAGAATTACTATCACCTTTAAACGACACTTCAGCAAACATATCTAAACGTCCAAGTAACAATCTATATCTATCTAATGGTGAACCATCATGATGAGAAACTGTTACCTAGTTATAATATAATTTTAACAAATCAATACAAATAAATAAAATAGTAATATTAGGTAAACAATTATAAATTATTATACTTACATAAATGGTAAATGGCATGGTGGGTTTAAAAACTTGTGGTGAACCACCTAAAAATGCAACTCTAACTGAAGAATTGAAAAATCTTGCAGTTGAATAACCTTCAATGATTTCATTTAAATATCTATCTCCTACTATTGCTGTTATAGTTATTTCAGTTCCTTCTAAGATAGGAAAATTTTTTTGTAATTCACTTAAAGGAAATTTGAAGTTATATACTCCATAAAACTAAAACATAAATAAATTGAACACAATTTATAATTTAAAAAGCAAATAATTTGAAATGTGAAAAAAAAATCATTTTAATGTAATTATAAAATACTAACCCATTGAATATGTGGTATTTCATTTATTCTTTCATCCTCTGGTTGTTTAGGATACCAAGGATTTGATTCATCCTTAGGAAAAGAAAGATAATTTTTAATGGATTAGTAAATGAATACATATATTTGTAATTATTTTTATTGACTTACAAAGCTAAAATATTTCTCTACAACAGAACCGTCAAAATTTTGAAATCCATTTTTAAGTGGTCTAACTGTGGCTTTTAAAGTAAGATTTCCACTAACAGGTCCTCCATTGGTGTAATTTGCCATTACAAAGCCAGTCAAATATTTATCCGAATCAAGAAAATAAGCAGCCATTGTAACATTAACCTAAATATTAAATACAATAATTAATTATAGATTTAATTGCAATTAAATTTAATTTATGACCCAATCTCGTTTTTCAATTTTTTTTTTTCAAAATGTATTATTGATTGTACTTTAAGAATCTAAAAAAAAAATTAAACGAACTTCGTATGTTACGGGGGAAAACTTAATGAAGCTCGGGTTTTTCGTTTTGAGTATTTTTAAGTGAGAATTTAACATTTTCAATTTTTTTTTTATTATGCTTAATCCATTGGTATAATCAAAACTTACCCATCATATTTACTTTTGAAGTTATTGTACATTAATAAAACATGAAAAAAAAAAAATTTAAAAAACAAGCTTGGGTCCTAAATTAGATTTGTTCCAATTTAACTTATGAATTATACCTCAAAACGTGTTTGATAATATTCTTCTACTAAAAAGTTTACTTCTTCAATCTGTCCTTGAGCTACTACTTGAATGGTCCATTCTCCGAAAACAGGTTGATCAGACATTTCATAGTTTAAACTTACACATCCAAAGTTTGACTATAAAAGTAATAAATATTATAAAACAATTTATTAATATGAAAAATTAATTTAAATTTTTAATAAAATTAATATCAATAAATTCATACTTGTCTTGAAAGCCACCTCCTCATAATATGGCGGTTTGGATCCAAAATATATACATCAACAGGATTGTCAAAAGCTTTTAATTCCGTATTAATTGGAATTGCTCGGAAATAGACTAAAATGTAAAAATAATTTTCTTTTAGTGCCTTAAATTCATTAACTATGACATTAACAATTTATATACCGATATCGGATTGTTTGTATATTGGTTTATCAGTTTGAATAAATATTGTCATCGACCGTTGTGAAAAATTCAATATAGTTTCATTTGTAAATGCATATCCACCAATAATACCATCATACAAGCCTTCTACTCTTAATTTATAATCACCAGTAACACTGTTAGTTGGGACCTGAAAAAAAATGAGTTCATAGCATACATACTCATCGAATAAACAATTTAAATTCTAACCAATAATAATAATGTTTCTTGAATTCCTTCTTTAATCACACTAATTTCAGAAGTTATTTCAACTCCATTCTTTTGAATTGAAGCTCTTACAGAAATTGGTTGTTTAGCTTTATAAACAGTAACAGACACTCTATAAACTTGACCTGGTCGAACTATTCGACTTGCAACCACAAAATAATTTCTAAAAAATAATAAAATTGATATTGTATTTAATCTACATAATAAACATTAAATAATAGGTACTAATAACTAAATACATACGCATCAGGAATGATTAGATTATTATTGAAATTATTTTTCCAATCATACTGTAGTTTTGTTGTTCGAGAAAATTCATTTTCTTGAGGAACTAATAAAGCTTCTTGTGCCAAACACAATTTTAAAAATAAAATTGCTATTAAAGACATCATCTTGAAAATTCTGTAAAAGTAAATGATACAGTAAATTAGAATGACTTTTTAATATAGACAGTCATCCATACATTATTCCTACTAGTTATTATTTATTCATTAGTAAAAATAATTAAATTTAGTAGAAAATAGCAGGTGTAGATAAAAATAATTATGTTTCAATAAAATAAACTAAAATTGTAATTGAAATAGTATTAAGAAAAAAAAAATGTAACATTTTTAATCACAGTTTCAAACTTAAAATTTTAGAGTACCTATTTTAAAAAATATAAATATTTGTCTTAAATATGAAGTCTAATAAATAAATTTAATGTACATACTTTACAAATCAAAATAAGAAGCAAAAATACCAATTGGAAAAATCACAAAAAATCAACAGGTAGTAGCTATGTTAAACAATTGGTATACTGTATTGCATTAGTCATTATAAAAACAGTTAACAAGTCTACTATGGTTAAATTAACATATTGCTTTTGTTTATATTTATGTTTTCATTATATATCAGAATTTAGTAATTATTACATAGGTCCCAATAGAAAAATTAAAGTAATTAAAATGTATTATACAGGTAGAAGAAGCCAAAATAAAATTGTCAGATTATGTAAATTACAAACCATTAATTCGAAACATTTGATAATATAATAACAATTATAACAATATAAGTAATAATATACCTATAGTTTGTCATTTGTTTGAATTAGCAAAAATATTTCTTACCAAAGGTTTACGCCCAAACCATAATTACCTGAGATTCAAATGTGATTAACGATCATACACTGCATAATTTTTTCGAATAAAAAATCAAACTTAAAAACAATTTATCAATATAATACTAAAACTATAAGTTGAACAGATAAAAAGTTATAAGAAAAAAAAATTAAACGAAAATTAGTTTTGTTTACTAACAAACACAACGTAACCTGTATACTCAATTCTGTAGGTTATTCAACGGACGGCTTTGTCCCCGCCCAAGTGGATAAAAAATTTCTTACCTACAGTGTACAAAATATAAAATTAATTTGTGGTTGAAAACACCACGGAATATCTTAGATATCTTAGTTTATGGTTGAAAACATAGACCAAACATGGTTGAATAAATAATCTGCCACAGCGATCTCTAGTGGTTTATTTAGTTTACATACAATCACAGGTATAAATTTATATATATATATATATATATAAATATACTTGCATTTTTTAATTAAACCATCATTATATTATGAATATCTGTGCCACGATTAAAGGTATCGTCGTTGACGTGAAAAAACCTACGTGCAAAATTTACGATTTCAATGTTTTGATATCCCTGGATTTAGAAAAAATTAAGCTATCATAATATCATATAATAATATCTGCTTTATTGTGCTATCTTCATAAAAGGATTAATGAAAAATAAAAAACAAAACCTCTCGTGTGTTACTTACACTGAATCGTTAATGTAATACCTCCCATGTGATTAAAAATGTCCAATACTTATGGTGACCAGATATCAAAGTCTAAAAATGTACATTTTAATATTTAGGTCCTCCATTATAAAAAAAAACCCTCCCTTGAAATAATTGGCTAATATGTATACTATTCTACCCATTTTGCCCATAGCTCATCTTCATCTGTATACACTTTTTTTTTTATTTGATTACTCAATTATTTTTCTATTATTAATTGAAAACTGGGTAAAACTATAATAACAGGTGGTTATGATGTTAACAACGTTTTTTTTTTTTCATTAAACAGTGGTTCTCCAACTGTCGCCACCGTTATCAGTCACTTGCAGACGTTTGAAATGCATTATGTTTAATCATAAAATATTAAAATAAAAATGAATAATCAAATTATACAAAATTATAAACATTTATTAGCCCATGATATTTTATAAAAAACGTTTAATTTCATGTACCTACTTAACACTATTGTTAAGGACATAAAATAATGCATAAAAAAGAGTACAACTGGTCACCATACCTATACTCCTATGTGAGTATGTGACATAAATCGGCATTAGACAATTTCCTATTTAACATTGAAAAACTTCCTGTGACGTTGAAAAACCTATTGTGATTTTGACAAAAAATTTAACCAACAAAACCTCTTATGATGAAAAATTGACAATTTATACAATATATTATACATACCATACAAGTTTTTTACTTCAATTTTTTTTCAGAACAAATAATTATATGGTTTTACAATTTTTAAATATATTTTCGTCAATCATTCACACGAAGATATAATGGTTGTCCAACGAGCTACTATGGAATTGTTGTCTACATAATTATTCGCATGATAAAACAATTCTGTAGCACTCGTAGACCGCAATGAAATATGTATGTACTATATTGTATACTCTATAACTATATATTATATCATATTCATGTTATTATATCACATATCATATTATATCAATTCATAAAATATGTTTACCTAAATAATATGCATAATATTATTATTACTTTACATTATTTGTACGGACAAAGGGCACACTCAGTAAAGCGCTAATGAAAAATAAAACTTAAAATAATAATAAGCCAATTTATTGTGTTACATATAATATGCGAAATAACAAGGCGTGTAAGACAAAAATGACGTTTAAATTAGAAGTGCATCTTAATTTTGTTCGACAATAATAGAATTTTATCTTTTAGAATGACTGATGACTAATATTTATGAGGCTATATATGACTATTAATTTTATTAATTCTTACGCATATAGCTGTGATAATATATAACCCGTCTATATTGTTTATTATAGAAATTTGTCATACAGAAAGAAATAAAAAAAAAAATGTCACAATCTCCAATAATCGTTTTAATTCCATCTATCAGCATAAAAAATTATTCATTCTATATTATTAATGTGAATTTCACTGTATCACCGTATTACTAAATTGTATTTGAATAATATTTTAGTTTTGAGAAAAGAAAAAAAACAACCGCTTAGTATACAAATTTTTAACATTTCGTGTATTAATATTGTATTATGCGTATCAAGAACGTAAATATACAGAGTGTCTCATGAAGATATACCCGTTGTATTATCTCCGGAGATAATAAACACAATCGAATTTCATTTTTGTTATATTACTCACAGGAATCAGAACTACACACAAAAAAAAAATAATTATTATTATTATTTTATTTTATAATTTTTGAAAAATATTAAGATAGCTGTTTTATAGTTTATTATTGTTCTGAAAATGTTGACGTATCGACTTTTTATTTCCGTTAACTTCGTGAGTTTTGGTATTTTTTTTAAGTTCAGAGAAAAGCAATGTACAGTCAATTAATCATAATAATAACAATCAATTAGCGAATGAGATCACAGCCTGCTGCATAAATATAGGTTCTTTTCTATGAACTTAAACAAATTACTAAAACTGACGAATTTAACGAAAATAAAAAGTCGATACGTTGAAATTTTCAAAAAAATATAATTCTATAAAATGACCATCTTCAAATTTTTCAAAAATAATAAAATAAAGTAATTTTTTTACCGAAACATAAAAATGTAATTCAAATATAAATATTTGTATTCCTAATTTCTGCGACTTGTAAAAAAAAAAAAACAACAGAATTATCATTATTATTTCGGGAGATTTTGCAATGAGTATATTTTCGTGAGACACTATATTATAGGGTATTATACTCGTATTAATATTAAACATAACAATAATAATATTATTAAATATTATGGCTCGCAGGCAAGGAATTTGTAACATTCGCAATTTATTTTTAGTCGTATATACTGAAGTATTTCAAGCAAATAGTTTTAAAAAATAATAATAACAACAATAATAAATAATAAAATTGCCGTGAAATCATTCGCCAAACATTTTATATTTTATTTCTTGCGGGATTTTTACATGACGATGATTTGTTTTACTTGCAATACGTACTCATAGCATACACATCGTTTTAAATAATATTTTATAACAATAATTTTAGATGCAATTAATTTTTTTTCTGTTTATATGCAAATAGTATTGATAACAAATATGAAATAATTAGCTATAACTGTTCGTTGTAATCTTAGTTTCGTAAATAAATACAATTATATTATTATTATGACGTATCAGCATCACGCACAATTTCGCCGATTATGTAGCGATTAGCGTATAATTATTTCTGTTTACTAATGATTTAGTCTGCTACTGTCAGCTAAAACGATCGTCTACTAAATATCAAATTTCCAATTATAAAATTTGAAAATTTGCATTTTTCTCGGGCGATATAGGTACTGATCGATTATACGTATTTTGTATCTATTTAAAGATTTTATTGTAAAAACAAATGACCTAATTCCATATTACGTGCCTGTCTCATACGAGCTTATAAAACTTTATATTAGTATAGGAAAGTATAATTAGGTCAAATATAAGGGAGGGTATTTTCGACCATTTTTGGAAGCATCTACTTTATTTCTATACGAACATCGTAAATAATAAATTTCAAGGTAATTTTATTCATTTCTTTCTTTGGATACGACTGTCATTAGTAAATGATTATTCTCTATATTATAGTCTATAGAATAGCAAAAATGGAGGAAACGACTATCTCAAATTTTTTGCAAATCTTACAGCAATCGGAGATTCCTGAATTCAAGTAGTCCCATCCATATATAAGTACTGCATCCAGATTGCGTTCAAACACACATTGGTTTACAAAATAACGAACCATAATGTATAATTTATTAAAAATAAAAATATAATGTTAAAATTGTTATAATTTACATTACAATTGCTATTTAATTTGTAAACATCTCACAGAAATCTTTACAGTCAGTACTGTAGTATTAGAAAATTATAAATAAACATATTGAAGATTAATTTTATTAATATTTAATACATTCAATAATATCTAAATATTCTAAATTACATTATTTGAATTACAATTAGGTACAAATAGATACATGCATGATACACATACGAGGACATAATCGAATTGATAAAAGACAATTGAATTTACGCAATAAAAACAAAATTGAATAATAACGTTATACAGATTGATTTTTATTAGCTGTTATTTGTATGAACTTAAATATAATAATTTTTTTTTTGGTTTTTAGTTTTTCAATTTGAACTTGTACAATTAATATTTGTTTATTTAATTACCTACCTAATTGCTTATAGTTGTTAATCTGTAGTTTTCTTAGCTTTATAACCTGCCGGAAAACACTTATACCCACGCCGTATTTAGTTAGTTTATGAGAAAGGGAAAAAGTCTATTTTGGGCCGGTGATTTCCCATTTTGTCGCCATTACATTTAACCGCCCGCCTTTTAATCATATTTTACCGCCATCCTATTTTGCCACTTTGTTCTCAAATTATTAATTATGCTTCAAACTCTGTTAGAAATTTGTGATTGGTTTCCAATATAATATAGTTAGATACAGCTGACGACTGAAGTTGTAAATTGATAAATCCCCGATAACCATACAAATACAACGACATAATGTAATAGGAAAATACTAGGTAAATACTAGGTAACTATACCTACAATAAAATAAAAAATTATATTCCGAATTTCAGCACACTTTATTATTCATTAGACGTAGAATCAAATATAATATATAATATATGAATTGTCTATCCAGCGGTTCGTCCCTGCAATTTACTCACATCAAATAACAATAGTAAATACCATTATACCATAAAAAATTTTATATGGCTATACGTAAAATTATGGTGTAGTTTTTAATTTAATTTAAATTTAGTTTTCATTAACATATTATTTGAAAAGTAAAGTCAGTGAAACGAAAAGCCGGCGATACGGGATATGACCCTTTGGGAGGCCACAATCGGGTGACGCCCACTGCGATAACAATACTTAACGAGCACATTTGCTAACAAGCAACAACAGTGACGACACATTCCAGAAAATAAGTAAATCGGATACATAATAAACATATCAAACCTACTCATACAATATACCTACTCGTAAATGTCAAAACGGTTCAAACACTTGTAATAATTGTTATAACAAATTTATATTTTTATGATCGATTTAAATCGTATTATATTATGATCAACTGTGCGGTCCTTTGCAGCGCCACAATTGCCAGATGCCAGAATTTCACACGACAATAATATTATTT